ACCTGCCTGTGCAAGGCACTTGACCTTAGTGCTGCCGGAAGTACCAGTTCCTGCCCCGAGGAGCTTACAATCTAATAATGAACACTGTACACAGGTGTGATGAAGAGAAGCAGCCAGTTTTTCTGGACGGGGAGGGTGGTATTCCAAGCAAAATGTGTCGTTATTCTTAAAGTTAGCATTTAAATACAAAACATCTTGACACCACCTAATCAGATGGAAAAAAAATAAAAAACAACAACAAAATCCCGCCTTTTTATAACTAACTTTTTAGATGCCTGTTCTTTTTATTTCAAAAAGTGTCCTATGTAAACATACAAAAATTCAAAGCCAACACGAGGACTAGCGCGGGCGTTGGGTAAACATTTATCAGTATACACAACACAGACTATTTTTCTATACAGTCTTATTTTCGTATAAACAAGTTTGATATTCACTTGTCCTCATTCATTAAAGTACAAATCTGAGTCAAAGTCCTGAAAAAGACGTAACTGATTTTTGCAAAACAGAAGCAGAAGCCCTAGGCCTCCCTGTGGGCTGGGTGTGAAGCCCATGAAGTCAGCGGTCCTGGGGGCCGCCACAGCCTCCGGCGCGTCCAGTGCAACCTCCCGGCAGGGCCTTTCCCGCGAAGGTGACAGGGTTTCGTGATGGTGAGATGAGCAGTTTTTCACCTAAGAAATACACGTGACATTTAGAGTTCTGAAATTGAACTCTCCCATCCACAACACTTCAACTCGACAGCCTGTCGCCTGCTTTCTCGGCGTGGGCTTCACCGTCCCTCCTTCCAGCTCTCCCCGAGCCCGGATGAACGAATGACACCACGACAAGCCCGCCAGCGCCGCTCTAGATAAACGCTCTCGCTGGGACCTCTGACTGTGTACTAAGTCTCCCCACTAGAGAATATTAGAACTCAGAAAATGCAAGCTAAGAAAAGCTGAGTCACCTAAGTGGATGAAGATGGGGGCGGGGGTGGGGGCAGTCATGGGCCAAAGGGTTAACTTCTTCACGGGACACCTTTAGACATGCCCGTTAAATCTGTTGATTTCACACCACTTTTCAGAAACAGTCCAGTCTTAAAACAAACTACATAAGCACGTGGGAGGCCACTGCCCATCACCCGGACTCAGCCCCGCGACGGCCCTCGCTCCCGGACCGGCCGCTGTGCCCTGCGCACGGGCTCACCATCTCCCGAGCACGCTGCCGTCTCGTCAGGGCACCGAGGCTGGAGCACTTGGATCACTGGAAGCAACTCAATATCCTGACTTAATTCAAGGACAAATTCCACCTGCTCTCATCAGTTTGACTAGCAGAAACCATGTTAGCAGACATGAAGATCTTAACTCCAAACACCTCTTTGAGCTTCAAGAAAGAACAGCTGAAGTTTAATAACTCTGAGCCTTGAGACATAGTCTGAAACCCTGCTGAACTGCCCACTGATGCTTCAGCTGCAAACGGAAATGCAAACAGTTCAGGCGGGCTAGCGCCTCCAGGGGGGTGAGACTGGACACACTGCGGGATGGCTGCCCTGCTGGCGCCCACGCAGGGGCAGCCAAGAGCACCAGGGCCCACGCACGGCGAACTGCCGAGCCAGGCAGAGGCTCGAAGCCGTCCGTGGTGGGCTACTTGTCCTGCTGTTTGTGCTGACCTGGCTCTAAGAAGAAAAATGCGCAGAATATACCTTTCCCTTAAAACATTTAGGCCTCCTGTCCTGGCCAGTGTGGTTCAGATGGTTGAGCATCACCCCATACACCAACAGGTTGCCAGTTTGATTCCGAGTCAGGTTGTGGGTTTGATCCCAGGTTGTGGGTTTGACCCCAGGTTGGGGTGTGTGTGGGAGGCAACCGATCGATGTTTCTGTCTCACATCAATGTTTCTCTCTCTCCCTCACCCTTCTTCTTTCTAAAAACCAATAAAAACACCAAAACATTTAGGCCTCCTGACTCTCACTATAACCCATTCAGCTTAGCTTTAACCAGAATTTCTGCTTGTCAACAATAGTATTTGGGGCCTGGCCGGATGGCTCCTTTGGTTGAAGGGCTATACACCAAAAGGTTGAGGGTTTTTTTTTTTTTTTTTTTTTTTTTTTTTTTTTTAATCCTCACCCGAGGACATTTTTCCATTTTTTGCACAGATAGAGTGGGAGGGAGAGAGCGGAAGAGAGAGAGAGAGGGAAACATCGATGTGAAAGGGACACATCGAGTGGCTGCCACCCGCACGACCAACCAGGGCCGGGGACAAACTGCAACCGAGGTACATGCCCTTAGCGGGAACCGAACCCGGGTCTCTCTGGACCGCAGGTGGATGCTCCAACCGCTGAGCCAAACCGGCCAGGGCGGTTGAGGGTTTTTTAAAAGAATGTTTTTATTGATTTTTCAGAGAGGAAGGAAGAGAGAGAAACATTGACCAGCTGCCTCCTGCAGCTCACTCCTGGGGTTCGAGTCCGCAACCCGGGGATGTGCCCTGACCAGGAGCCCTGACCAGGAATCAAACCGGGGCAAGGTTGCAGCTTTGATTCCTGGTCGGGGCACATACCTAGGTTGGGGTGCGTGTAAGAGGCAACCAACCGATTGATGTTTCTCACGTCAATGTTTCTCTCCCTAAAAATCAATTTAAAAAATATGCTCAGGTGAGGATTAAAAACAAAAATAAAAAAAACTCTTAAAAAAGAAAGAAGAATAATATTTGGGAGAAGAGGGGGCAAGCAGCTAAAATCCTCTAGTCCAGCGATGTCCGACTGGTAAGCTGCAGGAGCTGCTAGGACACCACCTGACTGTGTAGTCAGGGCACCGCCCCTTCCCTTAGACTGCAGGTAAAGAATGACAGCAACCAGCACAACAGATGTCAGGCGTGAACCAATCAAAATCATACCTATTTTATTTTTGTTAGATCGGCAAAATAAATCCACTTTTTGGTGCGCCGCGGGGAGGAGGTGGGAACCGCCGCTCTAGCCCCGGCCCAGCCCAGGCCACTGAGCACTCGCACGAAAGCCCCGAGGAGGCCAGACACACTTTATCAGGTTAACCGACACTGTTACCTTTAGAAAGAAAAATGAGCTTTTAGAAATTGTATCATGAATCTACTGTTGTTTCAAACATGAAACCTGTTCGCTCTGAACGGGTCCTAAGGCAGAGAGACCGGAGGGAAGGAAGAGCGAGAGGGAGGACCGTGGACGCTGCGCGCGACGCCCACGCTGCTTCTCTCCGGGAAGCGTGCGAATCCACCCAGCCCACAGGCCAGCTGCCGCAGGGGCGGGTGCTCCGGACACCAGCGCTCTAGTCCTCTCAAGGACCATCACAACAAAACGTATTTAATATTTAATTACTCCCGCGAACGTGCCCTGGCCCCGGCTGACCGGAGAGCCGCCTCGCCAGTCGCTGCGACACCCCGAGGACAAGCAGGAGCGGCCGCTGCCGCGCTCCCAGTGCTTCCGGCCAGTGGCCGTCTGCCGGGGCGGCGTGCAGCGCCTGCTTGAGATCGGGGCGGCGGGCACACGGGGATTCAGAACAAACACCGAGCTGTCAACTCCTTATCCAGAACACCAGGAACACAGGACGCCGGGCAGAGAAAATGAGATACAGGTGTGGCTGTCAGACTCCCCAGATCGAGTGTTGTAGCTGAGGTCCAGCTGCGTAGAACCTGCCCACGCACTTCAGCGCAGGGCTACCTCTGTGGTTACCAGTGACAGCTGAGCCCGCTGGGAATCCACTGGACAGAGCAGGCGGGTTTCAGGAAGGCACGGAGGTACGGATTGAACCCGGGCGGCGCAGTCTGAGGACTCCTGGTGGCCTCCCCCTTCCAAGGTGTCCCTGGTCGCCACTCACCAGATGTGCCGACCCTCGTGAAACAGGTGCACTGCGCTGTGACCCTGCCTTGCGCTCAGTCTCCTCGTTCTCCTGCATCAGTGGATTCACCTCCACGGACGAGGGTGGGCAGGGAAGGGGCAGGCCTCCCCAGTGGGGGTGCCGGCATTTGGGCTGAGGCTGGTTGGGTTCAGTCTGGAAAACCACACCAGGCTCATCCTCATGGGGAGAAGCCACGATGTAGTGACAGAGTGGCCATGATGATTCCCACAGACACGCAAGATCGTTCTGGGTTTCTCGTCCTGGGTTCCTCGTCAGCGTAGTCCTAAGAGTTCAGGTTCCCCCAAACGCACTAGTGCTTTAAATAAAAACTTAATGTAAGTTGTGAATGGCAGCAGCACCACGTCCCCCAGCACGTCACCTACTCCCAGTAGGAATAAACGCAGCGACAGGAAGCGTCCGTGATCATCAAATTGCAACGATTCCTCAACATGATCCCAACTGTCACTGTCACGTGTATAGTGAAACAGTTACAGACGAAAATCGGCTGCAACCACACACCCGACTGTGACTCATGACCTTAATGCTGACCGATCCTCTTTCTTGAAAATCAACTTAACATGCCCGACCCTCAAGTCTGGATAGATGCTCTTCTTGAAATTACCACCAAAATGAGAAATAGCAAGTGAGGCAAAATGTCCTTCACTGAGGATGCAGAACAAAAGCAGGAAATTGTGTTCGAGTCCAGGCAAGATAGATGCACGTAGCATGCGTCAGAATTTCGCATCTGGTATTTTTCATCCAGCTTCCCAGAAGCACGCACCACGTCAGCCGTGTGCACAACAGGCCTGATTAGCACCAATCCCTGGGGTACTTTCTGTAAAAACCCAAGAACAATGTAGTTCCGGAACGGCTAATTTTTATTTTAGGGTTTAAAACCAACGAACACGGGCCACGTGGTAACAGCCCACAGAGATCCTGTGTCGATACCAAGGCCCCCCGCAGGGGGGAGCCCGCCCTGCCGAGCAGGTGCACACCGCAGCTGGGCTCGAGCGCCTGCCGTCTGTCTGGCAGTCTCTAGGCAGACTCTGCACACTCCTGTACCGGACAGAATGAACCGTCTGCAAATGTCAACATTAAAAATACTCCAACTTTTAATACTGAAAGGAGAAAATATTATTTTCTATGTACAGATATCTCATCTCGGGCATCACCGCTGTCTGACGTAGGGACGGGACCCGGGGAGACTTATACACACTGAGGCGTTGGGGCAGGGATCGGATGACATGGGAGATCATTAAAAGTAAGCCACGATTATTAACTTACAACAGTCATCTGACCTTCTGACACCCTAAACCAATTTTAGTCTTTGTTTAACCCCTTAACAACAGTTTTAGGACAATGTTTTCAAACAAGAAGTGGCGGACACAGGTCTCCGGCTGTCTGCCGGGAACAGACGAGCAGCCTACACATTCCGACACTTCGAACATCGGTTGGTACAGTGCCCACCACGACACTTCAGCTCCCTGGAGCCACAGGGCAAGTCCAGACCAAGGTCAGGATTAAATCCTGTCAGCCCACAAGGCCCTTCGAAGCCCAAAGTCTCTAGAAGAAACCATTCTGCTCCTAGAAACGATAGGGCGCTTGTTCAAACTGCTTGACAAGACACTTGAGAAATAATGTTTCTCACGGGGTAGGAGCGGGCGAACGCCCATCTCTGAGTGCTGGGCTCTCTGCGCGCAGTCAGTTAAGATGACCCCCAGTCCCAGAGAGGCGATGCACTTCAGAAATGACTCCGGCCCTCTTCCCGATCACAGGGAGCACCTCTCCCCGGCAGGCCAGGCCTTCCGGCGCACCCCTCTCTCCAGGATGGAGGGTGTTTCCAGCAGATCACACATGCTGTCCACTTCCCAGCACCGACTTCAGAAGACAGGAGAGTCACAGAAAGGGCAGGGGCTTTGCAGCAGCCTTTTAATCCACTCAGGATCTGCAAAAGGAAGACAGGTACTGAGCGCTGGCTTCAGAAAGGGGTCAAGTGGGAGGAGCTGTGAACGAACTGCAGTGTGGAGACGGGCACCGTGGTCCCGGCTCCCACTCCAACGCTCTACGTGAGGCTGACTAAACCCGCGATCCCCAGTGCTGTGTGTGATGACATTTTCATCCTTCTGCAATGAACAGGAAAACAAAAATATTTAATGAGTGTTCCCCCCCCTTTTTTTTCCAATCCTCACCCGATATTTTTCTGTTTATCTTTAGAAAGAGCGGGAGGGAGAGAGGGAGGAAGAGAGAGAGAGACACCTCAACTGGTTGCCTCCCACACGACCCCAACTAGGGCTGAGGACGATGCCCGTGGCTGGAATTGAACCCAGGACTCTTTGGTCCATGGGCCGATGCTCTAACCATTGAGCCAAACCAGCCAGGGCTGAATGAGTGTTTCATAGAGCTGAATTTAAAGGGCTATATATTTTTCAGAGAGTATATCATTCAAACATTGTTAATGTTAAAATACTCTCTTTTATAAAATTACAGTAGGCCTGGCTGGTGTGGCTCAGTGGACTGAGCATCAATCATCCCATGGACTGAGAGATGCTGGTTCGATTCCCAGTCAGGGCACTTGCCTGGGTTGTGGGCTCACTCCCCAGTAGCGGGCGTGCAGGAGGCAGCCGATTTCTGTCTCCCTCTCCCTTCCGTTCTCTATAAAACATCAGTAAGACATAAACTGCCCTCAGACTTCCCAGCCTGGAGCTGCTCCCCTCCCCTCTAGACCTGCAGTTTCTCCTTCCCCCCGAGAGCGGAATGTGGCTCAACCCAAAGTCAACTGGCAGGGGTGTTTGTTCTTAAAAATCGTTTCAACCCTCTCCTGGTTTTCTGCCTAAATAGCATACTAATTTTCAGTGTGTGTTTATAAGTTCCCCCAAATTTGTTTCAAAATAGTCCAGTAAGAGGAGGGGCACACGGATGAAACGTAGAAGGCCGTGGGCTGGCAGTTTCTGCAGCTGAATGGGGGGCACACACAGATTCATTACACTCTTTTCTCACTTCTGTACAGGAGGCATTTCTCTGTAATAAAGAGAGAACAGAACACAAGCGGCCAACACACCAACTTCTCAGAATCAGAGCGCTTCAGCCAGCTGAGAAAAAGTCGAGCCTGAGTGTGTAGATTTATGTGGAAGGCCTTCTGCTTCCCTGAGAGCACAGGCCCCCCCAAACGTGCGCACAGTTGTGTCCCGTTAGCTCATTTGCTTAGCGTGAGATGTTACTGAACCTCAGGGCGTACACCTGACATCCCTGGAGCTACTTCCATCACCAGTTCCTGCCCACATCTCTGATCTTGTCTCCAACTAGTTCTGTCAGAAATGTGGGCTTTGCCACAGGGCCGTCAGAAAAAGCTAGAGCACCAGGACGAAGCCCGTCAGGCTACCAGGACTCCACGCGAACACCCTGTCTGCAGTGCTGTCTTTGTACACATCGTCACTGCAGAGTTTGCATTCAAATATCGGGTACAACAATCCCGGGCACTTTTGAATAAATAATTTGCAGTGACAGGACGCAAACTTACACGCTAAAGTGCAACATAGACTTGAACACGACATATTCTGACGGTGATTTTGCATTAGTTGTGGCTTCGTGACACTACTGTGAAGAGCAGCGCGAGCCCGGGCCCCGGGGCTTGGCCAGCGCGCTTGGCCGCCCCGGCTGGGGGAGGCTTACTCACCTTCCGGGGCCGGGTGGCGGGCAATGCTGTCATGGAGCAGACACCGTCTGTATATCAGACTCTGGCAGGACTGGTAGGTCAGGAAGCACCTGAAAGAAGACATGGTATTGTCGGTTCTACCAGCACTGGAAAGCAGCAGTGTGGAGGCAACTGGCCAGTTACTCTAAAGCCACATCCACCAGGCAGAGGGCAGACACTGTGGCTCGTTCGCGGCAGCCATATCCCCGTGTGGCCGGACTGCAGCACCCACGCTGCGGAGAGCGAGGCGTGGGCCAGGTTCCCGAGCGAGATGCAGTTTCTACGGCAGTCGCCGCAGCTTCTTTTTGGGTGTCTGCAGTTCAGTCTGTCCCTACCTGACTGTCCTTGGAATTTTTAGTAAGCTAAAACACTGACCACATATTATACTGAAAATGGTTCTCGTTAGTGATTTTTAAGATTAGTACCAGCACTATCTTTAAGAATCTGACAGTACAGTGGGGAAAATCTGAAGGCCGTGGGAGACAAAACTAATGGTGCAAAGAGAAGGGACGTGAACAGACGGTCCCGGCTCAAGCCCCGTGCTGTCCGTGGAGCGCCGCCAGCACCAGGCACGGCAGGGACGGAGGAGGAGGAGACGGGAAGCACGCACCTGGGTCTGCAGGGAAGGTTTCCCAAAACACAAGTTTCTAAGTCGAGCGGCCAAGGAACAGAAGCACAGCAGGAGGGTGAGAGGAAGAGATGCCAAGCAGGCTCACTGTGAGCAGAGAGGTGACGGGGAGAAGCCCACACCTGAGCGAGGGCAGCAGCCACTCCCGGCACCGCCTTCAGCAGAAATGAGAGCGGTCTCGCAGAGCCCGTCCGAGATGAACACGAGCGGTGGTCACAGCTGAGCGCTGCAGCCCGCACGCCAGGGCCGAGCTCTGTCATGCACCAGCTGTGTGACTGAGCAGAGGCTTCACCTTCCCCAGGTGCCAGTTTGCCGTCCGTACAGTCCGTCCCCAGTGTCCCCGTGCACAGTCGTCGTGAGGCACACACCCCGCTCAGCAGGGCGCCCGCAACAGGCGGTGCTCGATGTGTGTTGTGATCACGAGCCGACTGCCACAAGCACGTACAGAAAGCAGTCCGAAGGCGGACGTCGGGACGTGAACCGGACAGCCGAGAACGAAGGGTCAGAGGCAGGAGAGGAGGGAGGGCCGTGTCCTGGAAGCCAGGAGATGCAAGTACTTCGAGGAGGGAGGGAGCGACTGTGTCCATAAAGTGAGGACATGCTAAGGTTCCTTAGAGCGAGACTGAGGGCGAGGAGGAGGACTTCTACCTTTTCTCATAAAGTTAAACAAAAACAGCCCTGGCCGGTTTGGCCCAGTGGTTAGAGCGTCGGCCTGCGGTCCAGAGAGACCCGGGTTCGGTTTCCGCTAAGGGCATGTACCTCGGTTGCAGTTTGTCCCCAGCCCTGGTTGGTCGTGCGGGTGGCAACCACTCAGTGTGTCCCTTTCACATCGATGTTTCTCTCTCTCTCTTCCTCTCTCTCCCTCCCACTCTAACTGAACAAAAAAATGGAAAAATATCCTCGGGTGAGGATAAAAAAAAAAAAGTTAAAAAACAGTACATCAGTGCTTTTGTATTCCACTAACTTGAACAAGCATTACTTTCGTAATAAAATTGAATGCTACTTTGAAGGAAACAGTATTCCCAAAAGAAAGGGACTCCTACATATGTCAAGCCGTAACTGCCGTCGAAGGGTGTCCTGCTACCTCAGCCTGAAGGAAGATGTCTGTGCCAGGCTTCACGGCAGCTTTGCTTCAACCTCATGCCCGGGGAACTAGACTGGGATGGACCCTTCACAGGGCTCTGGGCTGCACAGGGCGCAGGCGGCCGAGGGCCTGGCTGCGAGGGCTTACCGGAGCCAGATGTGGCCGTTGGAACAGACTGCCTGTTTGCGATCCGTGAACGGCAGGACCTCCTTACACAGACTGCAGTGCTCAGGGAAGGTCTGTTTGTTCATCTTCTTTGAGATATGGCCAATCAGCACCTGGTGAGACAAAGCAGTGGGCAGAGTTTATGGAGAGCACGGGCTGCCCTACACAGATGGAATGAAAAATCACGTAGCCTTGTACACGAGACAGGAGGTTTGCAGTTCCATCACACTGTCTGGGAAGTGAAAAGGCTAGACCTTCAACTGTGTCAAATGGCCGAGTAACATCAACTCGCTTGGGGACCTGTGACAACAGGGTGAACTATACCTACTAAAGGAAAAACTGCTCTGAAAACCAATCTTGTTACTAGCCTTGCCTGTGTTGCTTCTGAAACAAGGACTTAGAGTTGTTAGAAGACAAAGCATTTAGCTATTACTTACGATGTTCTAATTTTAAGAAGCATCTCTATAGGTAAAATATTATGACATACTAGGTAGAATTTTACAAATGTCTGTTCTTCAAGAAAGGCTTACAAAGGAAAAAAATAATTAGGATTTAAAAATAATAATTTCCCCTTGTGATGGCCCCAGGACCCCTGAGCGATCCAGTTTAGTCGCCTGCGCTGTGAGGTCCACTACCCTGCGGCAGAGGGAGGGTGGGGCAGGACGCACTGTGGGATTGAGGTGGGGGAGAGGTCGACATGGCTGGCTCAAGGTCTTGTCCCAATTTCAGCTTCCCCTTTCTCTGCTTTGGTCTTAGGTTTACACTACTTTAACAATGGGAGTCTGATAAACACTAATCTACTTCATTATTTTGTTGGAAAAATCCTCAGTGGCTGTATCACTGGGGTGGGCTACCCCAACCCTTCAGAACCATCTTGTCTCACAAGTAGATAATGTCCTTTGAAGTTTTCAACACATTTACACTGGAGCTCTTGTGGAAGGACCCTCTAAACCCACCACTCCCTAAAATTAGTTCACTAAAGGTTTGAAGGGGGTCGTACCCTTCAGAAGAAGAGAGTGGGAAGGGAGGGAGAGAAAGAGGAAGAGAAATATCGGTTTGTTGCTCTACTTATTTATGCACTCATTGGTAGATTCTTGTATGTGCCCTGACCAGGCATCAAACCCATAATCTTGGTGTATTGGGATGATGCTCTAACCAATCAAACTACCTGGCTAGAGCCATAGTGGGATTTTTAAGACATGAAATGCATTGTTTTCAGTCAAAACTCAGTTGCTATAGAAGAGCAGAGGTACAATCTTCTCTTTAAACTGGCTGCTGAACCACATGACCAGGCTAAAGGTAGCTGCCGTGCTCACACAGCATCTGGACAATCACCCTGCACCAGAAGTTCCAACCTTCGTTCTCATGGCATACTAGCTAATTACTAAAATTCTGCAGCACACCAAAAATAGGTTATATTTTGCCCTGGCTGGTTTGGCTCAGCGTGGGCCTGCAGACCAGAGTCCCAGGTTCGATTCCAGCCAAGGGCACGCACCTTGGTTGCAGTTTGTCCCACCCTGGTGGGGGTCATAAGGGTGGCAACCAATTGATGTGTCTCTCTCATATCGATGTTTCTCTCTCTCTCCCCCTCCCACTCTATCTAAAGATAAATGTAATATCCTTGGGTAAGGATTAAAAAAAAAGAGAAAGAGCCCTGGCCAGTTTGGCTCAGCGGTTAGAGCGTCGGACTGCGGTCCAGAGAGACCCGGGTTCGGTTCCCGCTAAGGGCACGTACTTCGGTTGCAGTTTGTCCCCGGCCCTGGTTGGTCGTGCGGGTGGCAGCCACTCGATGTGTCCCTTCACATCGATGTTTCTCTCTCTCTCTCCCTCCCACTCTATCTGTACAAAAAATGGAAAAATATCCTCGGGTGAGGATAAAAAAAAAAAAAAAAAAAAAGAGAAAGAAAAAATATATGTTTTTTGCCTATATGGCACACACACACAAAAGTATAATTTTGATTCATTCACAACGGACGGCTATTGTGTTGGCTGTTGTCATTTTTTACTTGACAATCTAAGGGAAAAGAGGCCAGTGCCCATGACTAAATAGTCAGGTATTTTGTCATGTTTTAAAAATTCTTGCAGTGCACCAGTTGAAAAATGCTGCTCTAAACCATCACCAACCAATTTCCTTTACATATTTTCTAAAATATGTTAATATCACATTGACTATAATATCCCTCCGAGGTCCTTAAGAAACAATTGATAACCGGAATACCCCACTACACCATTAGACCAGAATGAAACAATAGTTAAAAGTTCACTTTCAGCTCTGGCTGGTGAGCCTCAGTTGGTAGAGTGTTGTCCCAGGCATCAAAAGGTCTCGGTTTGATTCCTGGTCAGGGCACATGCCAGAGTTGTGGCCTTGATCCCTAGTAGGGGGCGTGCAGGAGGCAGCCAATCACTGTTTCTCTCTCACATGGATGTTTCTCTTTCTCCCTCTCTAAAATCAATAACAACATCTTTAAAAAAATAGTTGACTTTCAAAATGAAAGGTCACCTGGCCGGTTTGGTTCAGCAGTTAGAGCGTAGGCCCGAGAACCAAAGGGCTGCAGGTTCGATTCCCGGGCCTAGTCAGGGTCATGTGGGAGGCAGACAATTGATATGTCTCTCTCACATTGATGTTTTTCTCTCTCCACCCCCCCCCTTATCCCTCCCATTCGCTCTCTAAAAATCAATCGATGGAAAAAATATCCTCCAGTGAGGATTAAGAACAAACAAAACAAAACAAACAAAAGAATAAGAAATATGTTTATTAAAAAAAACCACACAACAAAAAAACAAAAATGAAAGGTCAGTTTCATGAGCAGCACATCTTAACTACTCTTGAAATCATTGCAAACGTCCAACTGTGAACAGTTTAAAATAGAGATAAAGACAGTTGAACGCACTGCCTTCAATGAATATTTTAAATAAGACTTCAGGCAGTGAGAGTGCCAATCTTCAAAGTAAAAAGGAACAGGGCTTTTACGGTTTTTATTACTGTGGTATACAGTATGTTCCTTGTAACACAATTCTTCAGTCTGGATACCACGGAGCCACACAGAGTTAAGAATTCTCTTCTGTAGGGTCCCATCTCAGAACCCACAGAAGGATACTGTGCACTGGGGTGTGAAGCACGCAGCAGTTCCCCAAGCTTGCACCCCTAGTATTGTCAGGGAACATGAATTCTGTGGAATACATTTTGGATTACACTGTAAGACTGCTCTAATACCCAAATAAAGATTATACCCAGTTTTTGTAAAAACAACACGAGCTATTTACTTTACACGCCCTGCTTACTTAAATCAGACCCTGCTCCCCCCCAAAAACCACCTTTTGCAAACAGCGAGGCCCGGGCGCACGAGTGCCACACTTCCACGTCTGTGCGGGCTCCGCCTACTACTCTCCTAAGGACAGCATCCGGGGCTGAGCCTCAGCCTGGGCATCTCATCTCGCAAACCCTGTGTATCAGTCACAGTCAGAGAGAGAGGAGGAACGAAACTATTCTGTATAACAGGAGCATGTGCTCTGCAGCAACCCGTGTTTTCTATTTACTCTCTAGTGCCTCATGCCAATCAACTACCTAAAACATGTCAAAGCAAAACCTGAGCTTTCGAAATTCAATTTAGGTCACACAGACAGCAGACTTTTGTTTCAGCGCTTTTGTCAATCAACACCTACCCGTGCTGTTCGGTCATCATACTCTTCATCGGACATTAGGAAGTTACAGAGTCCCCGGGTGGGGATGCTGGTGTTTTCCGTAATCCAGGTGTGGAGGTACACTTCTCCTAAGACACGCTTCATGTGCTCCCTCGTCAAGTGCATTTCCACAGCCTCGATCTTCCCTTGGATTTCAAGGAGCTTCTCCTCCATTGGCTCACGGCCCCCAACATCTCCAGACTGGGTGAGAGGGTCATCGGTGGGGTCCTCTGGGTCCCCGTCTTTGCTCCTCTCCTGAAGGCCTTGCTTAGTCACCTGTCTAGAGGACGTGCCTTCTTCTTGCTGCTCATCCTCGCCAGTGCCCATCCCAGGCGAGTCGACGAGGAAGATTTTTGAGTCCTCCTGGGTGGGTTTCCACAAGGCTTCTGAAGGGGTTTTCTGCATTGACTGATATAAAATCCTCAGGAGGAAAAGTTTGAAACGCCAAATATAGGTGGCCCCACTGCTTTCAATCTTTTTCTCCAAAGCTTCTTGTAGAAACGGAGGGATATGTTTATCTTTTAGAATCTTCCAGCGTACGAGGTCTAGTAAATCTACCTGCTTAAAGAGATTCTGAACTGAAGATTCCAGGAGCTGAGCAGCTGCCTCTTCAAAGGTTTTGAGAGCAACAAACTGGACCTGGTAATTTTTGTTAACAGGATGGAGGCCATTGATCATGCCCTCAGTGGTAATGATGGCTAGATACGCACCACAGGGGCTCACTGCTATCCCGTGAGTCCTCACGGAGCCAAACACATCTGACAGTTTAATCAACTGGTGTTCAAACTTCAACGCGACATCCGTGAAAATGGGAATCAGCTGCCTCACCTTGCCATCGCTGGAACAGGTATATACTGTTCCATTCTGCTTGTCTGCAGTCATGGAGACGATCGGCAGGGAGTGAAGGCCCGTGACGTGGGAATTGTGAACATTCAGACCTGCTTTGGAGATCAGTAGGAGACACCAAAACACATAGGGTCCTCTCGCAGCCACCACTAAGCTACAGCTACACTTCTGGTAAGGGTGATACAGCGGAACACATTTGATGCTGTGCACAGGCAACTGGTCCATTTCTTTCCACAAGACGACAGGCTGCCTCAGAGTGAAATAGCCTTTCACAGCTTTGAGATTGACAGGGAGGATTTTTACAGGTCCGAAAGCACTCCCCACAATAAGGCCGCTCATTTTCCGATTATTGTGCTCATATTCCCACCAAAACAAGACACTGGGAGAGCTGATGCCGGACTCGACGGTGTTGCAGGAAGAGATGGACTCCTTTCCCACGAAAGGCAGCTGGAACTGCCACACGGCGATGTTGCCGTTTTCGAAGAGGACCGCCAGGAGCACACTGCCCACGTCCCGGCACTCGTTGTTATGCTTGACCTGCTGGGTGGTGCAGATGCCTGACCACTCCATCCTGACCGGGGTCTGCATGCTGTGTCTCCGCTGAAACTCGGCGAAATCCGCCAGGCTCCCTCCGGGGACCTCATTTTTAGAGAGCCTGTAGCTGGTCTCATAAAGACGTTCTCCATAAATCTCGGTCAGATCGACCAGCTGGACCCACTGCAGTCTGTTGAGGTTAGCCTGGATGGTCAGGCGGTTGTCCATGGTCAGTGCTGCCAAGAGGCACCTGCCGTTAGCATCACAGCCCACGGGGGACCAGCTAGTGTACTTGAACCCTCTCAGTGGCGGCAAAGCCTTCCCCTCGGGGTTGAACACCCTATCCAACATGAAGGTCTGGCTGACCGTGGGGTCTGCAGAGGTGGCAAACTTCTCCTTACACTGAGCAACTTCTGCCTTTGAGCCAACCTGAAAATAAGAGATATTCAAACTGTCAGATAAATATTTCAGGCTAGAAATACATTTACATTTCTTAGGGTGTATTAACTGAGTCACATTAATATATACAGAAATTTTGTATCAATTCTGTTAACTCTGGTATGACATGCATTTAAAAGACCAAGTACATGTCTAACACTAAATGAGCGTATAGTCAGAAAATGACGATTTTTAAAAAAGGATCAGAATAAATGTCCTCTTTCATAGCCTGGTTTCCACCTTCTTAGAATGGACATAAGCAATGACGACGATAGAGTCAAGAGCATTTAGCTGAACTAGTCACAAAACAATACAGGCATTAAAATTCATGGAAATACAGTCGTCCCTCTAGTATTTGAAAAAACTGCGATAGAGTGAAGCCACGAAAGTCGAAGCGCGAAGTGGCGAGGGACGACTGTGTCTAAATAAAGAATCCTACTTCACGGAAATTCATTTATCGTAGTCGAGTCTGGAACTGATTAACCACGATAAACGAGGGCAGACTGTAACTCTTTGACACAGTTAGATATTGGATTTTTATAATATCTTTGCAATACAAATGCAAACTTTTAAGTTTTCTATCTGAAATTTCATTTATAAATTATGCTGAACGTTAATTCCAACTGCTTCCACCATTTATATAGAATGATATCCACTCCAATTACTTGCTGTTCCCTGGCCATCCCGCCCTGCCATGTTCCCTGCTCTCTTGCCTAGAATGCTCTTTCCTCCTGTCGAAACCCCATCCATTCTACCAGGCCTCATTCTAGCTTTCGTTCATCTCTCCATCCTCCACGTTTGTGCCGTACATCAGCAGTGCCTCGCTGTATGATGACGATCTCTTTAAAAATATTTTAAAGGGACATTAAGATGGGGGAAGAGATAAATGACCAAAAGAAAGTGGTCCAGAGCCATAAGACTTGACCTGCTGTACTAGAGAAATGGATAACAGAAAGAAAGCAGAATCTTCCCATTCCTTCTTGGTATCAATCTCCTTTTATAAAGAGGCTGCTCTTCAAACTGGAAAGGTTAAAAAACGTGATTAAAAAGGAATTCAAGCCCTGGCCGGTTTGGCTCAGCGGTTAGAGCATCAGCCCGTGGACCAGAGAGTCCCTGGTTCGGTTCCTGCTAAGGGCACAGACCTCAGACCGGGGCCTTGTGGGTGGCAACCACTCGATGTGTCTCTCTCTCTCACAGACTCCAGACCAAAGAGTCGTGGGTTCGATTCCAGTCAAGGGCACATTGATGTTTCTTTTTCTCCCTCCATCTCTCTCTCCTTCTCTATCTGAAGACAAATGCAAAAATGTCCTCGGGTGAGAATAAGAAGAAAAAAAAGAAATTCAAGCCTTGGCCGGTTTTGCTCAGTGGTTAGAGCAACAGCCTCCAGACCTAAGAGTCGTGGGTTCGATTCCAGTCAAGGGCACATACCTCAGTTGCGATTCGACCCCTGGCCCTGGTTGGGGCCCTGTGGGAGGCAATCAATCGATGTGTCTCTCTCACATTGATGTTTCTTTCTCTTTTTCCCTTCCACTCTATCTGGAAAATCAATGGAAAAATATCCTCTGGTGAGGATTAAATAACAACAACAACAACAATTTAAAAAAAAAAAGGAAATGCAAGCCTAAGCCATGTACAGATATAATAACAGTCACTTTCAGTCCCTAAGCCGGAGGAATTGCACTCCAGGACACGGAAGGAACCTGGAAGAGGTGAACTCTCAACCACTGCCTGTACTCCTTGAGAAAGCACGGACAACTGGCAATGTGGCCAAAAACCCGAGTTCTATAGTTCAAAAATATCCCCCAAGAGGTAAGTAGATAACAAAAGCTATGGACCATTAAGCCTGATAGGAAATGAAATTCCTCAATGTATTAACAAATGACCAGTTGGTATAGACAGCAGTGACCTTTAGAAACCAGCACAAGCTAACTGGAAAAACGTAATCTTATTCTCTCTTCTGCTGACACTGTTCGATGACATAATAAATAAGCATATAAAACAAAAGGCAGATATAAAATCCAACAAATGAATTAGATGACTAACTTTTCCTAAAGTGTATTACACAGAACACAACTCCCCTCAATTGTTCCTTGATAAAGAGTTCTGTGGCTATACGTCATTTCCCTCTGAAGAGTTACAGGAGCACATTAAATGTCTTGGCCAGGCAGCTACCGTAGAAACTTAGTATTAACCAGTTATCCAAACTCTTTTAAAAAAAATAGAGCCAGGGGTGGGGGGTGGGGGTGAGAGGTCATCCTAAAAAATACTCTGGAAATGGTATCTTAGGCAGCGTATCATGATTTTATTAATCCTCAGCTGAAGGTATTTTCCATTGATTTTTAGATAGAGTAGAAGGGAGGGAGGAGGAGAGAGAGAGAAACATCGATGTGAGACACAACCCCAACCAGGGTCAGGAATCGAACCTGCAACCCCGGGTACGTGCCTTTGACTAGGAATCCAACCCGGGACCCTTTGGTCCATGGGGGGGCACTCTACCTGCTGAGCCAAACTGGCCAGGGCGCTATCTCAATTTTAAAAAGGCACTTAAGGTAACTTTCCAGATACACTTATGGACATACTGGAGAAATAGTAGGAACCGGAAATTCCAATGACAGGTGTCGCTTTCTAGCCTGTTAATAAAAGAATGCTAATAAAAGCCCAGAGCTTTGGATGGGTAGATAAAATTTAAAACATGACACAATGAAGCCCAGCCAGCGTGGCTCAGTGGTTGAGCATCGACCCATGGACCAAGAGGTTCCCAGTTCGGTTACCGGTCAGGGTACATACCTGGGTTGTGGGCTCAATCCCCAGTATGGGGCGTGCAGGAGGCAACCAATCGATGTTTCTCTCTCACATCGATGTTTTCTCTCTCTCCCTTACTCTCTAAATAATCAATAAAACATATTTTAAAAAAATAAATAAAACATGACACAATGAAGCCCAGCATAATATCTGAAAATCTGTGCTCTGGTGGCAGACTGCCCAGGTCAAATCCTAGCTCTATCACGTTAACAGCTCTGGGCCCCTGCACACACTGCTTAAACCTCTGGCCCTAATTTCCTCAATTACAGAGAAAGACTAATACTACATGTCTCCTAGAGTTAGAAAGATCAAATAAGTGAAACTATGTAAAGCATATATTAATAAGTGCTCAATGAATGTTAGCTACAACAATGACTTATCAACTCTCTGAGCAGTAAGTGTGTTAATGAGAAGTAGTAAAAGTATGTAAAGCCTCCCTGGTTGCTTGAAGATCAACTTCCATCATGAATGACACAGTAACTATCCGGACCAGAAGGTTCATGACCAACAGACTACTTCAGCGGAAACAAATGGTCATTGATGTCCTTCACCCTGGGAAAGCAACAGTACCCAAGACAGAAATTCGGGAAAAACTAGCCAAAATGTATAAGACCACACCAGATGTCATCTTTGTGTTTGGATTCAGAACGCATTTTGGTGGTGGCGAGACAACTGGCTTTGGTGTGATTTATGATTGCTTGGATTACGCAAAGAAAAATGAACCCAAACAGACTTGCAAGACATGGCCTGTATGAGAAGACCTCCAGGAACAGAGGAAGGAACGCAAGAACAGAATGAACAAAGTCAGGGGGACGGCAAAGGCCAATGTTGGTGCTGCGAAAAATGAGCTGGAGATTGGACAACAGAAGGAATAAAGATTCATCAGTGACTTTATCTGTGGTGATTGTGCAGATTTTTCATGAGAGGATTAATAAACTAAACTTTTATGTGTCTGGTTGAAAAAAAAAAAAAGTATGTAAAACACAGGGTAAAGTCCACCAAATGAAGAGTAGACATAAAATTGTTCACCAAATCCTATAATAAATATGATGTTAGAACAGGTAAATTTGCTATAAATAAAAGCTACTATAGTACTAAAAGTACTATGCAAATTACAGAATTTGTAACCCAAAGCACGGGATGGAATAAAGGGAGCTCATGCAACCCTTGGTCCCACTTGTTGTAGGAAGAATTCTTGATGGGGTGAGAGAAGCATGAATCTGGACGAGCAGGGAAATTCCTTACAGTTTTGTGCAGTGATTTCTAATATATTAGTTTGAATGAGCCTACTGCATATCACAAAATTAGTTAACAAATTAAAACAAATACTCTGATGCCCAAGGAACATACCACTTAAGAATCCAGCTCCCAGAGGCCTGCCCCCACCCAACCATTTAATTATATACTATTTCATACTGACCACCAATCATCTTTTTGCCTGTACTCCAGCCAGATTCATTTTTCTGAACCATACCAGGTCAATCCATGCTTATGAAACTTGAACAGCACCTTAGGGCCTCCTAGATTGAATGAAGCCGACCTCCTCAGGCTGACTTTCAGTGTTACCAAACTGGCCTCACCTCACTTTCTCTCTCTAGAAGAGCTACTTGAGCTCAGCGGTTGACCAATCATTACTTACCAACAATAGTAAATTACATTCCTACCTTAAATATGTATGTGCCTGACATGGACACCTTATACCTGCCACCTGGATGGTCCTCTCCTTCCTTTCTTTTACAACCCAACCCAACCCCACCCTCTTTGAGGACTGCTACAGATTCTGTACCGGATAACTTCCACTGATAAAAGTGCTTCCCTTCCCCATTCCTTTTTAAATTCTCTCAACTAGAGTGTTAAGTCTCTACTGTATTGACACACACACACACACACTTACATTTTTCTCTAGATGAGGTGCATACTTTTTCAGCAAAGGATATACCTTTTAAAACCCCTTTCTCTGCCTCCCTCCTTCAGCATTTCGGACCGTCATAGCATCACCAGTACCTGTCCACTTGATTTGTTTACATCTGGACCAATTCATTCCTAACTTCTCCAAGAAAATCTTAGAGGACTTAGCTTAGTCACACAAGTTTACCAATGATCCAATTCAACACCAAGTTGTCCGTTTAAAACTTGAATTAAGGCCCAGCCTGTGTGGCTAAGTGGACTGAGTGACTTCCCATGGACTGAGAGGTCTGGGTTTGATTCCAAGTCAGGGCACATGCCGGGATTGCAGGCTGGATCCCCAGCTGGGGGCGTGCAGGAGGTAGCAGATAACATCTATGTTTCTCTCTCTCTCTAAAAAAAATCAATAATAATAATAATAATAATAAACCGGAATTAAGTATGCTAAAAAGTGGTTTGGGCTTCCTGCATTTAAAATGGCTGTGCAGAGTAAGAGTTTTGTTTTGTTTTTAAGGTCGCTGTCACATAAATACGTTCTCCCTATACAGATCCCTAACTTAACGGCGCCGATCACTACCTGATGTAATGCTGGTATTTGTTCATGACTTGCTAGTGAACGTAAGCTCCACGAGGGCAGGGGCTTTGTTTTATACGCTGCTTTATTTCCAGAACCTAAATCAGTGCCTAGCTGATACATAGTGGTATCCAAACATCTGTTGAATCAGTGCATTTACCCATAGACAGTTCACTTACATAAATACAGATCTTTGAAGGAAATAGCAAAAGTTTTTACATTGTACGTCTAGGCCATGAAAATGAACGAGAGGACTTAAAAAAACAACACAAAAAACCCCACGAATTTGAAAATACATCACAACAGTCAAACTAAGGAACCCTAAAATTCCGAAGGCAAACTTAGTTTATAAGAAGCAGAAAGCACCCCATCTGCACAGAGACCTTGAAGTTTAAGAACGTGCATGTATTGCCAGACCCTTTGCTTCTCTTTCCACACCAGGAAGACTTCTAGCTGCTAAAGAAAACCTGGAGTACACGCGCCAAGATCCACTCTCTGCCCATCTGCCCCGGGTGAGAACCACTCGTGATAAAGTCGCTGGGACAGTGAAGACAATGGCAAGGACCGACTTTTCGTCTGCAAAGCAGAGGAGGAGCCAGAGGGAGGCACGTCACCGTAAACAAAGCCAGCCCGGGGCCTCGGGGAGTCAGCCCCAGACAATGGGAGCCACGGCAGAGGCAAGTCTGGGGCTGGGTCACCAGGGGGTGGAGTCTCAGAAAGCACCCCCCGCGAGAGGGACCTGCGCCCGACGCAGGGGCCAGGGAGACCCGGGCCCGAGGGGACCTCCGGGGCTAGGTGTGTGTCAGGAGGGGGTGCGCGATCCGGAAGGCGGGGCACAAATAGCTGCAAAGTTTTGTGTTTGCTCGGTGGGCTCGGCGACCCTTCGCCCTGAGCGCGAAGAGGGGACCCCCGGCCGAGCGCGCGGGCATTCCCGGGGTACCCGGCCGCGGCCGCGGGAGGGCCGGGTGGCTTACTTTGAGGAGGCAGCTGTTGAGAGGGGCGGGCACAGAGGTGCGGTGGATGACCAGGTCCTGGCCCGGGTTGTGCACGTCGCAGATGAGCTCCAGGACAGCGATGCTGCGGGCCGTGGACACGGACACGCGGTGGTCTTCGGACCAGGCCAGCGGCTCCAGGCCGCTCACCGCATACTGCAGCTTCACGGCCGGCTCCCGCCGAGTCACCAGGAGGCGGAACGCATCGCTGGGCCCGGGGGTCGCGTCCGCCGCTGGCTCCTTCCCGCCCACCTCGCCCTCCTCCTCCTCGGCCGGCGCAGGCCCGTCGGCCGCGGGCCCCACCCGGGCCTTGTCGGCCGTGTTCATCTCGGCTTAGAGGCCGCGGCCGGATCCCCCGGCGCGCCAATCCCGCGTCGCCGGCCGGTTGCCGCCTCCTGCGCCCGCCGCCGTTCGGCCCCAGCGCCCTCCGCGGCGATTTTCTCCCCTCAGGCCTAAAGCGCCGCCGAACCAGGAAGGACCCCGCCGTTGCTAGGCGACCTAGCCCTGCCAAGGTGGCCAAGGCGCTGCCGGTCTAAAAATGACGCGCCACCTCCGCGGGCGGGACCGAAGCGCCGGGGCTTGGCGCGAGTGGGGTGGGGGCAGGGAGCCTCACATCCCTTTAGTGACCTCCCGGGGGCCACCACACTGCTGAGGAAGGGGTAACCCGAGGGCAAACAAAGGACGTGTTGGTTAGATGGCGCACGGCCTACTCTTGTTGCTCAGGAATCCAAAGAACTTCACGAGCATGAACTCTGGGGTGCGGTGTCACTGGGCTCCCGCCGCCGCAGGCCGAGCCACGAGGGGTGCCACGCAGGACGGCCGCCCCGCCCCGAGGCCCCCGCGCCGCGGCTCCGGCCGGCGGTGGGGCGGGCCGGGTGAGCGTTCGCGGGCCCCGCGGGACCCGGAAGGGGCGCGGCCGCAGGACCCGACGCGGCAGCTACGCGGGGTCCTCGCGCGCGTCCCACGTGAGCCCGGGCGGAGCCGCGGTCCAGGTCCGCGAGGTCCAGACGCGCCCAGCCTGCCCGCGTGTGCCCGCGCCTCCTCGCCCGCCATGGCAGTCACCGACGGAGCGCCCCCCCACCTCTCCGAGCCCGCGGCCGCCGCCTCCAGGCCGGCCTCCGGGCCCCGCGCGGCCCCGGCCAGGCGGGTGAGTTCTGCCCCGGCGGCGGGTCCGTCCGCGCCGGGCCCGGCCCGCCGACAGCCGCCGCCGGGCCTCCGGGTCGAGTTTGGAGTAGTTGGCGGAGCTAAGCGGGGGAAAGTCAGGAAGGAGGCCGCTCTGCAGGGCTCGGCCGAGACCGGAACCCCGCCCGCCGGACGCGCTCGCAGGGGCCGGAGCTGGCTGGGCAGCCGCAGGCCGTCTGCCTCCAAGTTGGAGCGGACGCTCGGGCCTCCCGCGGCCCAGCCCTGTCACTCCACCCCCACCTCCCAGCCGCCGTCCCTCGGCGGGGAGGCCGGTTGCGTCCGCGACGAGGATTGGCAGCTAGAAATTTCTTTTACGTGTTTTCCGAGGAACGGCACAGATTTCGTCGCCGTCGGGGGGAGGGGGAGAAAGTATAAACTCTGGCATGCCATGTCCTCACCAGGGAGGGGCAAGAAGCCTTCCGCCGGGCCCAGGCCAGAGCTGCCAACGAGGTCCTGGGATGGCTGACTTGCCTCCCAGGAAAGGGCAGGCCTGTTGGGCAGAAACAAATCTGTTGTAAAATCACGTTACTGACAACGCCAGGAAGGGTGCAGTCTCGTGGCGAGGAAGTTGTGTGCGTGTGTGCTTGCAAAAGCAACAGATTATTATTCCACTGGAAAGTTTAGTCCATAAAGATCAATCTAAGCAAAGTGAGTTGCCCAAGTTCAGTGCCGCCTGTGTGTGGAAGCTGACACCCAGGGTCTGGATTCTCTTTGGTGGTTTTCTGTGCGTGTGACGAGCTGTCGGAGTCCGAGGCTTGGGACTAAGGAGTTTTCCTCCAGCCAGTGGGGTGGCGGCGCCTGGGAGGGGGAGGGGAAGCGGGGCAGGGCCTCCCGCAGCCTGGGATTTGGAGTGGGACCCACAGGATGAGATGCCAGCGCTGCAACACGCTAGCTCTGTGACCTTGAGGGATTTACTTCACCTCTCTCATCCTCACTTTTTTTTCATTTTTATTTTTTTAATCCTTACTGGAGGATATATACTTTTTTCCATTTAGCTTCAGATAGCGTGGGAAGGGGAGAGAGAGAGAGAGAGAAACATAGATATGAGAGAGACACGTCGATTGGTAGGGCTGGGGACCCAACCCCAACCAAAGTATGTGCCCTTGACCAGGATCGAACCCGAGACTCTTTGGTCCTTGGGCCAATGCTCTAACCACTCAACCAAACTGGCCGGGGCTGATCCTCACTTTTTCTAACCATAAAATGAGAACAGTTTCTGCTTCACATAAGGTTATTATGAGGATTAAATGAGGTAATAGATGTAAAGACTATACATTTTCTGACTCAGAGGCACTTAATAAATGCCAGTGTTGAGACACAAATAAGTTCATATTGGCTCCATTTTGTGTAATAGAATTGCTACAGCGGGAGGTCAGTGGGGTGCTTGTACCATGTACTTGCCTAACACGGGAAGCACTTGCTGAAACTTTGAGTTGAATAAATAAACATGAGGTATCTGATTTTATAAGTGTTTGAACTACTGTGTCAAGAGGGTATTAATTAACGACGTGATGACAGGTGTCCGCTGTGGCCTTGTCTACATCTACATTTTCATTTGTGTCTTGAATGAGAATTATGAATATGCTGATCAAATTTGCCAGAAGCCTGAACTTGGGATGAGTAGCTAATATACTGGATTTGGAAAGACTTCTAACACTGTGCAGCATATTTTCTTTGTGGAAAAAAAATTTATTATTAAATTACTATGAATTGTTGTAGAAAATTTTGGAAGTAGATTTTAAAAAACCCACCCATAACTCTGGTTAACATTTTGGTGTATATCCTTTTAGACAACAACTCAAAACAAAATAGGGTTCAAACTATTGAGGATGTTTTCTAACCAAACAGGATACAATTAATAAATGGTATTGTAGCATTGTCGTCAGGGACCTGGGCAAAGCCTGGATCCCTCTGCGGCCCTGGGGCAGCTCACCTCACATCTCAGTGTTCTCAGCTTAAAGTGAGGTGATAGGAGGCGGGTGTCAATGGGGAAACATCTGTAGCAAGAATAAGTTAGTTAATAAAAAAGTAAAATGAGGTGATACCAGTACGTGCATTGATAAATGAGATAATTCATGTAAGTACTTAGCATATCACCCTGCCTAATAACTACTCAGTATGTTTATTAACATCAAAGACTTAGGGCTAAATGGGCCCCAGGGGTCATCTGCCATAACCCCTTGTTCTACAGCGGCAGGAACAGAGACTCAGAGAACAGTGACTTGCTTAATGTTGTGCAGCTAATTTTGAGTAGGTCTAGATATGTCCTTGCTCGTCTCTGCTAAATGCCACCTCTTGAAGCATTCCTATCCCCATGCCTTTCTTAGTCTGTGCTCATAGCCCTTTGTACATACCCCTTCTATGGTACAGCTGTAGGTTTCAATTTCTGGTTTTACACTTTTGTCTCTTCCATGAGTCTGTGACTTCCTCAAGGGCTTGGCTAGTCTTTCAGCTTTGTACCTGAAGGTTCAAGCTACTTGACAGCGGCTAGAGTAGTCAGTTTTTGTTTTTTTTTAATCCTCATCCGAGGACATTTTTCCATTTTTTGTACAGACAGAGTGGGAGGAAGAGAGAGGAAGAGAGAGAGAAGGAAACATCGATGTGAAAGGGACACATCGAGTGGCTGCCACCCGCACGACCAACCAGGGCCGGGACAAACTGCAACTGAGGTACATGCCCTTAGCGGGAACCGAACCCGGGCCTCTCCGGACCGCAGGCAAACGCACTAACCGCTGAGCCAAACTGGCCAGGGCTAGAGTAGTCAGTTTTTTAAAATTAATGTATTGTGGATGGGAAGAGCAAGCAAGTAGTAGTAAAGTGTCCAGATTATGGAAAGGGATAATTCCATTGTGTGTAATTCGTTCATTTTATAAGTATTTATTGAGCAGTTACTTTGTGCCAGGCATGAGCCAGTGCAGGGGATGACTGGGTGAAGAGAGGAGGGCAGGAAAGACTTCTGAGAACCCAGTAAGCCTAGATCTGAAGGGCGAGTATGAGTTAGCCAGTCAGATGGAGGGTTGGAGACATAGCATGTGCAAAGGCCCTGAGGAGGGAAGGAACATAGTACATGTTTGGAATTAAGGAGGACAAGGATGGCAGAGGTATAGTTGAGACTGGTGAGATGGGCAGAGCCAGATTCCAGATCAAATTACAGATTTGACTTTAGGCTAAGAGCAATGGAAAGCTGTCTAATATTGTGCTTAACTCTGAGTACTTCCTTTTAGAGAGAAGTTGACATGGGAATAAAGGGTGGGCCGGATGGTAAGGGATCTAAAGTTTGTGTCCTATTGGGAATATTTAGAGGAGGGAGAAAAGGGCTCATGTGATGTACAAAGGAATATCATGCACAGAGGAAGTAAGCTTGTTCTGTGTTGCCCAGAAAGCAAACTTCAGGCTCGTAGGCAGATGTTCAAGGCAACAGATCCTGCCTGAATGTCAGACACAGCTTCTGAACCCCTAGAATTTGGTCTGCCTTGAGGCTTGGAGACCAGTAAGAGGAGGTGTGTAGGCAGCAACTGTCAGGCCGCCTGTCAGGGAGCCTGTCATAGATGTCTGGATGGTGGGAGTGGCCTTTCGGCCTATGCTCCCAGATTCAGTGTCCATCAATGGGGTGAAATCTGCACATTTCATTCAGCCTTGTAAATGATTCAGCAGACCTGAAGTTTGACTTCATCTCTCTCTTTAATCTGAAAATTCATGAACTTGGGACTCTGTAAAACAAAGTAGGTCAGTACCTATGATTAATATTAAATATTTGAAGTTGTGTTTATTGAATTACTTAGCTATAGAGGACCTTATAGTTGTCAGGAACAAAGACCTGTTGTTATTGGTGGGTTAGTCTGAAGCCAGCTGTCATGGCTAAAACAAGCTGATGTGTACGCGAAAGTCATCATTTCAAGCTAAGAGGAAAATAACGTTTTCCCAGAGAAACCAGAACTCCCGCATAACAAGTCCTGACTACTCACAGGATGTTTTTATTTTCCTGTGTAAATTGGAAGAGAAGGCCAAAGAAAATAGAGGAATTGGATGTTTCTTCTCCTGGGGGGAGTTTGGACAACGTGCAATTAACCACATTCATGGTATGGAAGTAAGAAGCAACAGGCAAGCAAGTACCTGGTGGTGTAGGCTGTAGTCGGTGATCAGGTGGAGAACTGAAAGGCGAGGGGAGTTGGAAATAATTGTGGTAGAAGTGATGGATGGAGCAGGATTCTCGTTTGGAATGGAAACACCACCTGAATCCGGGGGAGCAGCTTGAGGGGAGAATGACATGATCCAAGCACTCTGGGTGGAGCGGTGATGAAGGTTTCCGCTTCCTGGGCAAGAGCTGGAATGCAGCGGCCCACCCCCACGTGTAGTACCCAGGGGCTTTCATGGTAGAGAAAAGAAATGTATTCCTCACCCCCCTTATTCTAATGTAAATGGATTCCTAGCAGTAGAAACTGACTTAGCATCGCACTTCACAAACTGGGTTCTCTTCTCTTAAAGTAGACTCATTTGTTAATATGCAGCCTGAAAATCGTTTCTCCCTTCCTGATCCTCACTCATCTTGGTTGAGTTAGCGGTTAAGAGGTCTCGTAGATGAGTGAGGTGGGGTTTTTGTGTTGTTTTGTTTTTTTGCTTTTAGAGGGGAAAAGCTGAGTCAAAGCGTCTGATTGCAGACCCTAAACTGTTGCTTGACATATGGGGCATAATGGTCTCTGCGGGGGGAGAGGCAGTTCCGGGGCAGTCAGGCTTCTCTCTGAGCTCCGTCTTCATGGACTAATGCACCTCTGCCGCTCTTTCCTTGGGGACCACGCAGCAAGCACAGGCCACCAAAAGGAAGCGCCAGCCGTCCAGTGAGGCTGCCCCAGCCAAACGGAGAAATGAGACATCCTCTCTACCAGCCAAGAAAACCGCCGCTAAGGAAACGCAGAGGGCTTTCAAGGGGAAGGCACAGAAGGTGTTTTCTCGGAAGAAGACTTCAGCTAGTGCGAGTGAGAGAAACCAAGAGCAGAAGGCGTGCGTTAAGACTTCATCATTGTTTAAAAACAACCCTGAAATTCCAGAGCTCCACAGGTATGCCCAGGTGCAGGTGCACCTCAGGAGTGAACGAAGCTAGTGTACTCTGCCTGTTTCTTTGTGTATTGGAACTGATGCCTGGCTTTTGTTCATCATTTGCAGACCTGTAGTCAAGCAGGTGCAAGAAAAGGTGTTTTCTTCAGATGCTTTTCATGAGCTGGACCTCCACCCACATTTAGTAAGTACCTCTCTGTGGTTCGTGGGGCTGAGATTTTGGTGCGTTTATTCGTTCAGAATGTCTGAAATGACAGTGTAGGGAAAAAGATCCTAGTGTGGTTACCTCTGCTCCGAGTTACCTGAGTGAGCTCGGATTGATAAGGCTTTTCTAGGACAGTACACGTGAGCTCATACGATTGCTCGCTGTGCCCTCACCCCCATTCACCCCTTTTAAAGAACTCAAGCCTTTCCTCACCTCATTCAGTTTAGGACTGGGATCCACTTATCAGGCTTTAAGTCAGTCTCGTCATTACTGGGTAGATGTGACATTGAGGCTGTTCTGGGTGGCAGATGTCACGGTGACCACAAGAGGGAACTGAGCTGTGTCTTGCTGTTAAGGGACGTCTGTGGTTATAACATGCATTTTCTACCAGCAAATGAACCTTTATTTTTTTTAACCTTGAGTGAGTTTTTCATGCTTATCTATGAGAAAGGAAAAAATACCTGAACTTCAGGAATTTCCTTTGCTCACATGGTCCTGACCTCCTCCTCCTTCGGGGTGGGTAACACAGCTTGTTTGCCTCCTGCAGGTCTGAACAGTTTCTCAGCCTTTCTGCCGGGACACTCTGAGACGCTAACGCACTGCAGGGTGTTCAGCAGTATCCTGAGCCCTTGCTCACTCGATGCTGGTAGCTTTCTGTCCCGCGTTTGAGCAACCAAAAATTTCTCCAGATTTGGCTGCACTGGGGCAGAACCACCCCAGCTGAGCACTGCTGGGTTGGAGGAGCTTAATTTGCTCATGGCGATCAGTGTCCCTCCTCATGGGTTTTGTTTCCTGTTTTTTGGCATTCTTATTTGCAAGCATAAATATACTAATATTTATATTTCGGTATAAGTATATTTAATGTGTTTATACCAAAAAAATGATAGTTAAATTGATTTTTGTCTTTCAGATTTCTACAATAAATACAGTCTTAAACATATCTAATATGACCAGGTAAGTCCTGTCCAGGCCAGTCCTGATTTTCTTAGGACTTAAGTGGATAAAATTGTATGAAATCTGAATTGTCTGTGGAGAACTGAGCTAATTTGTGTTAGTGATAGAGAACAATGCCAGGTTATTGACTGTCAAGGGCTGGACGTGTCCCTTAGCCACTCGGTTTCCCCACCTGTCAAAAAGGGAGAGTGGGTCCCCCTCCAGTTCTGCCCTCAACTCTAAACTAAGAGGTCTCTGGTCCAGACGATGGTCTGCATAAGACCTCTCTGTTGTGCGTGCTTCCCTGAAAATAACGTGTTAGACACGGAGAGTGTATCGTGCAGTTTCTCAGTAGTAAGGACTAGAGTCAATATACACGGCGGGAGCAAATGTTTAGTTGGATATAATGGGATCCTGAAATTGTGGTCAATGTTTGTTAGGAATGAAGTCCCCTGGGAGCTAGAGAGGGTGTGAAAGGCGAGGAGCAGGGTGCAGGCCCTCTGGGCATATGCACTTCTTTACATTTAAAATAGCCACGATTGACGTACAAGTAAAAACAAGGACATTACGAATAAAAGAAACCCCTCACCATTTGTTTTGTTCAGTTTTGTCAGCCAGATTTAAAATGTCTATCCCCTTTTAGTAGTTGGTTTAAATGCACGTGGACACATCTCGATGTGTCCATGCAGTTGGCTTGGTTTCTGGAGCGGGAGAGCAACTCCTGGCTCTCTGGGGGGCTCACAGCTTCCTCTCACTCTTCTGCCCGGGAATCTTCCCCTAGCGTTTCACTGCGCCTCACATTCCCTCCTCCAGAAGGCAAGGGGGTGTGTCGTGCTTTTGGGATAGCTCCCGGTTGTCATGCCTGTCCCGTTTTTGTTTTTAGTTAGTGTAATGGAATGGCCAGTCTCTGGCTTGCCTTAACATTTTCAGCTCAGTTCCAAAACTTTAACTGAGCTTTTTTTCTTCTGATCACCAAAAGTTGCTTGGCACCTTCACTTGAATGTTTTGGTAACTTCTAAGGGGGCAGCCTTTAGACAGACCAGAAGGTGGGGCGGTTGCATTTTGTGTCTCCTGCGTCTCTGCATGTAAAGACAAGTGGGTAACAGTCTGGGTAACCATGTGTTCTTTCTTTTGGGTGGCCCCAGTGTCCAGAAGCAAAGCATTCCTGTGTTGCTGGAAGGCAGAGATGCTCTCGTGAGATCCCAGACGGGCTCAGGTCAGTCCTTTAATTTCTTCCCCCTCTCCTGTGGTACCCAGACCACCATTATGGAGTAGGTTTTATAGGAAGGTGTCTGCTTGTGGTGGAGGCTGCTTTGTTTTGTTTGGGGGAGGGGAGGCCATGCTTGCTTTTGACGAGAGCCCTGAATTAGCTCACATGGTGAAAGGAAGGGGAAGATTGACAGCCGTGAGCAGGAGCCATCAGGAAGTAGTCAGGTTCTGGTCTCATTCCTCGGAGCCTGTCTCAGGGCTGTGCCAAGTCCCACCATCTGTGGCCAGAACTGCTTGTCCTTACTCCATTGCAATGAATTTTTTCTGCTGGCATTAAAAGAGTCTGACATGAGCACACACTGCTTGGTCCCAGTCGTTTGCTCAGACGGGGAACACTGCTTTTGTGTGTCCGGAATAACCTGGACATAGTCTTCTGACCTTCTTGTGCCTTTATGGCTGCTCAGCTGTACTCTGCTATCCCCAGCTCAGCCATTCAGGGGGATGGAAGCCCAAGGTTATTGCCATCCTGAGTTTCTCCTTTGTCTTGAGTGGCTGGGGCTGGGGTTCGTGTTCAGTCTGGCCCCTCCCACACCAGCACCACAGAGGACATTTACTCGACTACAGAGCACATTTGAGATTTTAGGACCACTTCAGAGGAGGAGCTGTCTAGCTTCTGGAGACAGTCCTCAGGTTGCACTTGGGAGTAGTTTAGGAAGTGTGTCACTGTGTCCCGTGTTAGAGGGAGAAAGGAGGTGGAGCTGTGGTTTTGTAGAAGTAGGACTGAGTTATGAGAAGAGTGTGAGATGGGAGCCTGTTTCCGCCTCTCCTGGCCATGTGACTGGCTCTTTCCTCAGATTCAGGGCTGCTCTCCTTTACTATCATCCACAGGGGCTCTGCTTTTAATTGCTTTTGTACTTTTTAAAAGGTAAAACTCTTGCCTATTGCATCCCTGTGGTCCAGTCCCTTCAAGCAATGAAAACAAAAATACAGGTGAGTGACAAGTGTGCTTTTCCACTGTTGTTCATAGTGCGTAGAAGCCCTGAGACTGAAGCACAGCAGTGATCTGGAACTGGAAGAATCTGCCTTCACTTAGCATTGCTTCCTTCACTCTGTTTGGTGGTGGTTGTTAATCCTCAGCAGGGACCCTGAGAATTGTTTTTCCATTGATTTTTAGAGAGAAAGAGAGAAACATCGATGTGAGAGAGAGATATTGACTGGTTGCCTCCTGCACTCAGCCGACCTGGGCTGGAGATTGAACCTGCAACCCAGATACACACCCTCGACTGGGAATTGAATCCTTGACCCTCAGTCCTCGGGCTGACAGTCTAACCACTGAGCAGTGCTGGCCAGGGCTCCATACCTCTTTTCAATTCATTTATCACACAGGCATGTTGACACTGAAGACTGTGTCCAGAATGCAACAGAATAAATGTATTTCACCATCATCGTAGTAGGTCTAACGGGACATTTGTCAGATGTGCCCTGGGTGTCAGACATTGTGCTGGATGCTTTGCCTGTGTGATCTTCTTGAATCTTTAACTGCCTTGGCCCCGCTGAGTTGTCGGTATTACTGTTGCCCCAAGTTTACATCAGAAATTGAAGCTTGGGGAAGTTCAGTGACTGAACCAAGACCATGTGGCGAGTGATGGGAACTGCATTCCCCCCTCATCTCTCTGTGGCTCCAGAGACCAAGCTCTTCTGCCTGAGAAAGGTGAACGTTATAATAAAAACATGCTTTGCCCTGGCTGGTTTGGCTCAGCGGTTAGAGCGTCGGCCTGCGGTCCAGAGAGACCCGGGTTTAGTTGCCGCTAAGGGCATGTACCTCGGTTGCAGTTTGTCCCCGGCCCTGGTTGGGTCGTGCAGGTGGCAGCCACTTGATGTGTCCCTTTCACGATGTTTCTCTCTCTCTCTCTCTGTTCCTCTCTCTTCCTCCCACTCTATCTGAACAAAAAAAATGGAAAAATGTCCTCGAGTGAGGGGGAAAAAAAAGTGCTTAATCATGGGTAGTAGATGTAAAAATAAGCACCCAGTTAGTGAGTTTGACCATGGGCTGCCTGGTAATGAGCATTTTCTAGAACTTATCTTCAGTTGTGAAACATGTTTCATTAGTGCCTGGGCCACAATTGGGTTCTTGGCGGTCCCCAGGCAGCCAGTTACCTGCCACGTTCCGCAGGCGTAGGTGTGGTCTCAGACCCAGCCGAGTCCTCCAAAAACAGCCTGGTTAGTCTCAAGAGGAAATAGCAAGATCAGAAATAGAAAGTGGGGTAGGTTCACAAACAGATAAAGAAAGCTAATTGGCTCCTTTTTTTCTCAGTTTGGACATACAGGATTAGGTGTGTATTGAGCCCACCTGATATTTGAGTGCCAAAATAGATAATGAGAGTATTGGATTATAGCCCATAAACTAAAACAAATCCCATGAGTCCAACTGCTACGAAGAGGTTACTGAATAAATAAATATGGGAAGGGAAAGCCCTTCCTCGTAGTGGAATTGCAAAGAGTAAATGTAGACCAAGTGACCGAAATAGAACAGCAGCATTCAGCAAATGCCACAGTGGGAGTGTTTGAGGCAAGAGTCATCGCAGATGCTGAAATGAGTGGGCGAAAGTGGGATGAAATGGGATGTTTGCATAGTTTCATAGTAGTTCCCCACAAGCTACTCCCTAATCACAAAGGGAGAGCAGTAACCTTTCAGTGGGCAAGCCTGGTTAAAAGTCTCCCAACCAAGCCACCACACATGCTGAGATGTGTGGACCTCGTGGGCCTCACGTGTCTCCTGCAGGTCTCATGGAGGACGCAGCTCCACTGCTGTGGTTTTCTTGCCAAAAACGCATAACCCAAAGTTAGTCGTAAACAAACATCAGACAAACACAAATCAAGGGACATTCTACAAAGCAACTGACCAGTACTCTTCAAAAATGTGAAGGTCGCAAAAGACAAAGAACTACCCTGATTAAGAGACAAAGGAGATGTAACAACTAAATGCACGACTGGTCCTGAACTGGATCCTAGTCTGGGGAAAGGACGCTAGGGGGTCAGTTAATGAGTCTGGGAAAAGGATGCTAGTAGGTCAGTTAATGGGATTTGAATAAGGCCTGTAGGTTAATTAATAGTGTTTAATCAATGTTAGTTTCCCAGTTCTGATCATTGTACTGTGATTTTGAGAATCCATACCATATGAAGCAATAGGGAGAGAAGGATTTGAGTTCTTTGTACTATCTGTGCAATTTTTATTGATCGGTTGGTTGGTTGGTTGATTGAGTGATTGATTTTAGAAAGAAGAAGGGAGAAGGGAGAAACGTCAATTTGTTGTTCCACTTATTTATGCATTCATTGTATGTACCCTGACCGGCACATTGTATGTCCAAACTGAGAAAAAAAGGAGCCGATTAGCTTTCTTTATCTGTTTGTGCCCTGCAACCTTGGCGTATTGGGGTGATGCTCTAACTAACTGAGCTACCCGGCCAGGGTTGTGCATTTTTTTGTAAGTCTGAAATTATTTCAAAATGAGTAAGCTTAAATTTTATTTAAACTTTATGTAAATGGTTTTAAATCAATAAAACAGTCATCCAAATGATGGAACCTTCTAGAGCCAGTAAGTGGTATTTTTTTCAATTATTATTTGTGAACTTGTGTTCTTGCTACGTTAATTGAAAAAAGGCAGGTTGCAAAGCAGCATGCGTAGTATGACTCCAACTTCATCAATGATAATAATCTCTGTGTATCTATAGAAAAAGATGAGAAAGATACTTATCAAACTGTTAATGGTGGTTTTCCGTGAAGTGTAAGAGACTTTTATTTCCTTCCCATGGGGCACAGTGAGAGGACTCACATGGAGGGAGGGCTTCTTTAGTGTTGTCCTTGGAACACAGAAGAGGAAAGGTCGTCACAGCAGTGTGGTGGCGCCTCACCCACTGAGAGTCCCAGGAGACTTGCTGGTTCAAGGTGTTGGTTCATTCAGAGTTGGTGAACTGGGGAATATTGGAGCTGGAGTGGGTGCTGCAGTCCTAGCCCAGCTGTCTCATCTTATTGGTCGTGACGTAAGGACAGGAGAGATCAGTCTACACCTGAGGGAGCCCATGTGGTGGGCAGCTTTACTCCAGTCCGAGTGCAGCTTTAGGCAAACCATTTCACCCCTCTGCGCCTCACTGACTTCACCCGTGGCAGGGGGTGACCACATTGCCTTTCTCCAGGGGTGAGGAGTAAGTCTGCTTGGCACACGTGGATGGTCGAGAATGGTGTCTAGTGCCTGGTATCAACCTGCTTATTGTGTTAGCCGCCATCATCATTGACACGCTGGGATGGTTGTTTGAAGGACGATGATTTGATTCACTTATATTCAGAACCATTAACAAGCCAGATAGTTGCTTTTATTTGCTCAAATTTTTTTGTTTTGTTAATCCTCACCTGAAGACATTTCTCCATTGATTTTAGATAGAGAGGAGGGGAGGGAGGGAGGGAGGGAGGGAAGGAGGGGGAGAGAGAGAGAGAGAGAGAGAGAGAGAGAGAGAGAGAGAGAAACATGATGTGAGAAAGATGCATTGATTGCCTCCCACACAACCCCGACTGGGGATCAAACCTGCATCCCAGGCACCTGCCCCTGACTGGGAATCAAACCCTCGACCCTTGGGTCTGCGGGCTGACACTCTAGCTGCTGAGCCAAACTGGCTAGAGCTGCTCAAATATTTTTTATGATCAATAACAGCTCATTCTATTCAAGACTGAAATACTCTATAGAAAGTTTTCCAAGCCCAAATGTAACTCATTTCTAGTAATAGTCAGTGTAGACCCCTGGAGTTCATTGTAAAATGATTTGACCTGTAAAAAACGTATGTGTAGGGAGCAGCGAATTCAAGGCACCCAACAGAGTCTTCGATTACTTGGGGATGGCATGGGAATGGACCGCTCTGCTGTCATTTTGGCTCTGATTTTTCTAACATCACATCCATCCTCTTCACTCACTTCTGCCCTGCAAGGAATTGCTTTTTCTTTCTTCTTGTCTGTGTAGTAACACCTTTTGAAATGTCAGAATCTCCTACCGTCACACCGTGGCACCTTGATACCCTTGTGCTAACATGTTTACTGTTCCTCGCCCGCTTCAGCGCGGTCTCACCAAGTTGATGTTGAGTACAGACGGCTCTAGTTTGAATTCCAAATCCTTTCTCCTTGTGGGTAAATGTCTCCTATGCAAAACATGAAAACCATACTTGTGATTGAATTTGCTGCTAAGTCTGCACTTAGCTGCTGCTCTAACAGTGTTTAGATCCAGTCACTGTCTGAGCATTTTCGAGGTGTAAGGCACTTGATTTTGGGGCCCTTTTCAGATAACTTAATCTTTTTCTTGTATTATTATTATTAATACTATTCCTATTATTAGTTTTAGATATAATGTATATGGTAATAAATTTAAACAGTTCCAAAAATATAAGTCCTTCTACTCTCCCCACCTTCCTTGAGTGGGACAATCCTGTCAGGATGCAGTGGTCCTTGTCACCTGTTTCTTGTGTGTCGTGCCAGGGGTATTCTTTGCCTATAAAGCAAATATGAACATGTACAGGTCCTCTGCCCCTTTAATTGAAGTGTTTGTTTGTTTGTTTGTTTGTTTGTTTGATAGATAGACAAATGGTTGCTTGTTATGCATGATGTCACATGCTCTGCTTTTGTTCACTTAATATGTTTTGGGGATAATTTCTTATCTGTTAGGCACCAGATCGATCTGCCTTGTTTTTAAAGGGCTGCCTAATATTCTACTTTATGCGTGTGCAGTAAGTCATTGCCTCATTCCCTCACTGGTGGAATCTACATTTTGTTCAGTATTTTGCTATAAACGACTATTCTGCATTCTGGAAAATACAACTTTTTTATGCACATGTATGAGCATATCTTTTAGAGAAATTCCTATAAGTGGAATTTGCATTTTTATTTGATAGAAAATGTCAAAATTGACCTTTAAAGGAGTTATACCAATTTGCACTCTCATCAGCAGTGTATGAGAATCCCTGTTTGCCCGAGCCCTTATCAACACTGTCAGCTGCTTCGGTTTGCTCACTTGGCAGGGGAAACATACTGTATTATAGTTTCAATTTAAATTTCTCTCAGGAGTCAAGTTGAACATCTTTTCATATGTGTAAAAGCCATATTTTGAATTATTTCCATAAATTAACTGGTTAGGTCCTTCTCCATTTTTCTGTTTGAGTTGTTAGTCTTTGTTATTCTTATTTTTAGTTGAATTATAGACCTTCCTTATAAGGTAGAGAAATTGCCCTTTCTCTTATGGATGGCATAATTTTTTCCCATGTTGTCATTTGACTCTTGATTTTGTTTGGGTGTTATTTATTCTGAAATTTAATTGTATAATAAAATTTATCGGTGTTTTATAGTTTCTGAATTTTATGTCAACTTAAAAAGGCCAACTTAATTTTTTTGAAATGATCTCTGAACAATCCATTTTATCCCTGATATAAAATGCCCCTTATCTTATTTCCTAAATTTCTCTAGGTATTTGATTCTATTCTAGACTCTTTTTGCTATTGTAATCTCTATATGCCAGTATCTTTTTATTTTTAATCCTCACCCGAGGATATTTTTCCATTTATCTTCAGATAGCGTGGAAAGGAGGGAGGGAGAGAAACATTGATGTGACAGAGACATATAGATTGGTTGCCTCCCACACAACCCCAACTGGTGCTGGGGACCAAACAGCAACCAAGGTTCATGCCCCTGACCGGAATCAAACCTGTGACTCTTTGGTTCGCGTGCCAATGCTGCGACTGCTGAGCCAAACCGGGCAGGGCCAGTATCATTTTTTAATTTTATTTAGTTTTAAATTTTTTTCCTTTATTGATTTTTAGAGAGAGAGGAAGGGAAAGGGAGAGACAGATAGAAACATCAATGAGAGAGAACATTGATTGGCTGCCTCCAATCTCCTTATACATTTTTGTTAAAATTGTATTACATTTATGGATTGACTTTAGCTTATGTATAATATTATCCAAGAACAAGATACATCTTACCATTTATTCAAGTTTTATTTTATGCTGCTCAGAAGTGTTTTAAAATTCTCATTATGTAGATTTTGTACATTTTTGCTAAGTTTATTCTTTATCTTTTTTGTTGCTGTTATAAGTGTGATTTTTTTTCCTCCTTCATTTGTATTTTCTTATTTTCTGTTAGAAAGCAATTGGTTTTTTAATTATGCATTCAGCTAGTTGACTTAATTGTTTTTTTTGTAATAAATCTTCAAATGATTTTTCTTTTTATTTTAGGGTAAAATATCTTCTAATAATGACAGTTTTACTTCCTACTTTCCAGATATATACAAATTCCTTCTCTTGTCTGATTGCATGGGCCAAAACCTCTAGAACAATGTGTTGTGGTCATGAGGGTGGTGGGCATTCTCATCCTTTTTCATTTCTTTTTAATCCTTACCCTAGGATATGTTTTTATTGGTTTTCTGAGAGAGGAAGGGAGAGAGAGAGGAAGAGGGAGAGAAACATCGATCAGTTGCCTCCTGTATGTACCCTAATGGGATCAAACTCATAACCTAGGTATGTTCCCTGATCCACTTTTGGTATATGGACGACGCTCCAACTAACTGAGCCACCCGGTCAGGGCTTATCCCTTTTCTTTACCGAGACTGCTTCTGATGTACAAGTGGCCACTCTTGCGTTCTGTCACCTAGACTCTTGTGACCTTCATTCAGGGCAGTTCTTTCCTTCTCCGCAGCGCGGTGACGGCCCCTACGCTCTGGTGCTGGTGCCGACGAGAGAGGTAAGCAGCTCGCACTCGGTGCGTCTTCCGGTGGCATCACGTCGAGTCTGTCAGTGGTGCGGCCATCTCTCTGCTGAACAGACCGCTGTGCCCTTTCCTGTGCCCAGGAACCGCCTCGGGCTCCTGCCGAGGAAAATTCAAGTACTTTTTGAAAATTATGTTTCCCTGTTATCTAAAAACTGATCACACTATAAATTTCTATCCTTTTAAATGAAATTTAAATAATCACATTTTTATACTTTCCTCCCCATCTTAATTTAAAAAATAAAAGCAATCAGCCCTGAAAATGAACTTTTTTTAAAAAAAGAAGCTACTGTACAAAAATATGTTTCTAAAAGTTAAGCTTCTTGGTATTTTTCTTCTTTCTTGGTGGAAATCTCTTTTGTCTGGTGTATTTTATTTGCCTACAGAGGCAGTTTCAGACGAGGGTATCTGTTTTCTCTGTCAGATGCAATCACTTCCCTGTAGAGACTTGACCGTGGCGATGGAGGTTCCACTCAGCCTTTGACAGCCTGTGGAGCCCCATCAGCTCCGTCCATTGAAGGAGCAGGCAGAAAGAAAGCTATTAAAATTTTGACAGCAGCACACTGGCTACTTCCTAGGATGCTTCGTGAATACTGAACATATGGAAACTATACACATATCTTTGGTCAAAGGGATTATAGACAGACTCTGTGTGTGTGTGTGTGTGTGTGTGTGTTACATGCCCCTAGTGGGAACCGAACCGGGGACTCTCTGGTCCACAGGCCAGTGCTCAACTGCTGAGCCAAACTGGCCAGGGCTGTACAGACTTTTTTGATGGTTAATGGTTCTGACCTCGTTCATTTTCATTTTCTCTGGTTTCCATTGGGCTTGTTGGTTATTCTTTCCTTTAATGGATTTGAGGAATGGCCACCTTTCAGTCTTCAGCTGTTGCTCAGCCGTGGCATGTTCCTGGATTACAGTCACATCACCTTTAAAGTTCCCAGAGGCCAGCCCGCCACACCACAGTTCCAGTTCACCCTTCACACAGATTCCATCTTTCTCCTTCCAGAGAGCCACATTCCGGTCGGCTCCTCCATTTTCTTCCATTTTGTGCTCCAGAACTTGTACTTTCTGTAGCACTCTAGGAATTTGAGCCAGCAGAGGGAGCACAAAACACTGTTTTTGGATCCATCTAAGAGGTAGATGTGGGGTGTGTCGGCCCACACTCTGCAAACCGAGTTTTCTTAGCCTCCCAGTCAGGTCTGTTTGCGAGTCGATTCTGTGCTAGGATTTCTTTCTTCTTAGGTCTGAACTTGCGGGCCAAGTGTGGGTACTGATCACTTCACATTGTCTAAATTTAACAAAAAAGGAAGGCTAGAGAGATCTTGCTCATTATAACTTTTTAATATTTTCAGCTGGCGTTACAAAGCTTTGACACTTTCCAGAAACTGCTCAAGGTAAGGCACGTCAGGAGTTCAGTTTTACCTTGTTTTCTTGGCTTTTTGAGGAAAGAGAAATCTTAAGTCTTTTTTTTATTCTCAAAGAACTGGGAATTAGTCTCATTTCCCTTTTCCCGCTGGATGTCTCTGCTCTTCCCAGGTATAATGTGCAGATTTTTACTGATATAAACCTTGCTAACTACCTGTTTTTAGCTTAGCAAGATTACTAGTGTTTTCTGGTGCTTAAAGGTTTATAATCTAATTATAGTCACCAGTAAGCCATATACAGACATTCACAGGCACAGCAGCCTCAAGCTGGTGAGGGTAAAGCAACCTACAGTGCTTTGCGTGGGGTTTAAGGAAGCAGAGCGAGGCTCCAGGCCCTAGCTGGCTAGCCCACCAGTTAGGAGGAGAGCTGCTCTGCCTCGTTGTCATGGGGGGGGGGGGGCGGGCTTGCGTTTCATCTGAACCCAGGACAGAAGCAAGCGATGGGATCACTGAGTGTGTGTTCCAGGCCCACGGACAAAGGCAGAGAAGCTACTGAACCATTTCCAAAGCTGCTGTTTCTGTCTCAGTGTTGGAGGTGGTGACATAACCTTAATGCAGGCTATTGCTGAGAGGGACCCTGCATGTGGCATTGCCTAAGAATCGTGTCTGCACAGTGACAGCTTTTACACCAGAAGGAAGCCTTAGTGCCCCTCCCGACTCCTGGGAGGAGAAGGAATTGGGACTGTGTCTCATTTGCAGGAAAGGGGCTTTGCACTGATTCTGATCTGATGTCTTTCTGTAGCCATTTACCTGGATTGTGCCTGGAGTGTTAATGGGAGGAGAGAAGAGAAAATCAGAAAAAGCCAGGTAGGGGGAGGTTTGTTTGTTAATCCTTCTTTGAATCTGTCTGTCCTGCCTTCCTATTCAGTAAGACTTGGTCCTTCTAAACCTGGAGAGAGCCTTGTCTCCGGTTGTGCTCCTAGTCCCATGTGTAGGGACAGATTGAGTCAGCAGGGAGCAGTCACCTCTAGACAGTGCTGTTTTTTAAAATATTGATGAACCTGCAGGGGGCTCCCTTCTGATGTGGTCATGACCTTCTTAACTCTATCCACTCCGTCCCCGTGGTCCCCCTTGTTTAGTGCACATCGCCCTTTTGGGTACATTGGGAGTTTGGGGTTTTGTTTTTTCTTAATAAAAACAAAATCATAAGCTTACATAATGCGTTTGCATCTTGCTTTTTACACCCAAAAACATGGATTTCTGATTCTGTGTTAGAACTGGAAATGGGTGTCAGTAGAAAATTGTTGTGATAAGTAAATTCCAAATTGTCTGCATTCTTTTAAAACAATTTTTATTGTATTAGAGCTGGGTCCATTAGTAGTAAGACCCAGCTATGTGTGGTCTGTTCCTGAGGAGTAAATATTAAAGTGGAAACATGAAAATATTGGCGCGGGTTAGGCTCAGCTGTGAGAAACAGCGGCAGCAAACAGCAGTGCCCCCGCCACGTGGGAGTTTTGTTTTCCTTTCACACTTAAGCAGCCTGACGGCAGCCCATCCAGGGCTGGCGGGTGTTCCAGTGTCAGGACCCAGGCTCCTCCTCTTTCTGGGCCACTGAGCGAGGCTTCCGTCTCCAAGGTTCCTGTCACATGTAGTTCCCTGCGGCAGGAACAAAGATAGGCAGGCCTCCTCCCCCTACAGGTTCTTGTGGGATTTACGTCTTCTCTTTATCCCTTTATCCTGTTCTAGAACATAGGCCGGATCATACTTAACTGGGAAGCTAGAAAATATACTCAGCTAGAAATCAGAGGCTTTTATTACCCTGGAATAATGGGATAAAGGGTGTTTGGGGAGTCATAAATTAGATTTATTCTACCTAATGTATGGGGGCAAAGCTGAGCTCATTATGTGGAAGTTAGAACAAGGATTCAGTATAAGAAAAACTTTCTGGGACACTGATTCAGGTAAGAGGTTCCCTGGCACAGAAACCTTCAGGAACAGGCTAGACAGCCATGTATCTGGAATGTGCTAGAACGATTCATGGACCAGGTGAAGGGCATAGGGTTACATAGTAAAGACTTCTTTTAAAGTTAAGGAATCTTTTTATGATTTTAATATAATTGCAGATCTTAACAATTCGATTCTGTAGAAGAGAGAAAAGTTTAAATTATCTCTGTGTTCACTTGTCATTATGTTTGTCGTGATTTCAAGCTGTGGCACATGGGCGCTAGACAGGAGTCTGTCTCCTTGGCCTTTTTCCTGTGTTTTCTGTTAACGGTCGTGTGACTTACTTTCTTATGCTGTATAATTTTAAACAGGCTCCGCAAAGGAATCAATATCCTCATCTCCACTCCTGGACGTCTGGTGGATCATATAAAATCCACCAAGAACATTCATTTTAATCGGATACGGTGGCTGGTTCTGGATGAAGCCGACAGGTGAGGCTGCTCTAACAGCATGAAAGGCAGAAAGAAAGGCCTGTTTCTGTCTCCACTGCGACTGAAGCCCCCAATATTATGGTCAGTCTTCATGTAGATTAAAATTTCTTTTCTTGAAACCACAGAATCTTGGATCTGGGTTTTGAAAAGACGATCACAGTGATACTCAATGCTATTAATGCCGAGTCTCAGGAACGACAGAATGTCTTGCTGTCGGCGACTCTCACGGAAGGTGAGCTGAATAGGTGCTTTTTGTTCTGAGTGCAGAGGATGGACCCAGCTGCAAGGGGCCTGTGTGCTGGCAGTGGCTCTCAACCTCGGGAAGGGGCAGCATCTCAGGACGGCCTCCAGGGTCCTTCCTGCACCAGCCTCACTCGTCCAGCAGCCTAGACTGCTGCGACCCCCAGGGCATGGGCGAGGACGAGAGGGCAGGTCCCAGGTCCAGGACTGCCAATAAGTACAGTGCTGCTGGTGCTCACTTTGGGGTGGGGAGGAAGAGGAAGGCTGACTGCCTCCTCTCTGTGCTTTCGTGAGGTTTCTGTTGCTGCTGTAACCCATCGAGAGCAGGGCTCTGGTCCTGGCCACGATGCCCTCTCACCCAACTGCGGTTTGTTTGTTTTTTACCTTCACCAGAGGATATTTTTCTATTTATCTTTAGATAGAGTGGGAGTGTGAGAGAAGGAGACGAAGGGAGAGAGAGAGAGAGAAACATCAACATGAGAGGGACACATTAACTGGCTGCCTCCCACATGACCCCGACCAGGGCCAGGGACGGACCGCAGCCAAGGTACGTGCCCTTGACCGGAATCAGATCCGTGACTCATTGGTCCATGGGCCGATGCTTGAACCACTGAGCCAAACTGGCCAGGGCCCACGTGCAGTTTTCAGTGTAGTCACGCCTTTCCTAAGGCGGTGTTGAACCTAAATGTATATGCTCTTTGAACTCGTTTCGGGTTTTCATCCTCACGAGATGGAGGTTCTCAGCTGGCTTGCATAGCTGGGACACTGGGCTCGGACAAGGGGCATCGCCCTCCTCCAGAACCCACAGCAGGTCCTGTCCCAGCAGCGGCACAGCTTCCGTGCTCTCGGGTCCACGTCACTCATTTCACCGTCCGTGTTTTGCATGCACATAGCAGCTTCATCGCTGCGACGGACCAGCAGTTCTGAGTGTATTTCAGATAGCATTAAAGGGACGAGCCATGGAAAGGGGATTCTGTGCTCGAAAAGTTTGGGAAATGCCACACATTGCCTCCTCTTGGGAATTCATGGTGTGCCTTCACACAGTAAAAGTCCTGAGAAGGCCTGCAAAACCTTACGATAGAATTTATGGAACATTTTTATCAGGGTTTTCATAACTTACTTGACCATAGGAAGTGGCGGACAGACATCTGTTAATGTTCCTTTCAGTGGTTTCCCGCAAGTGTGAGCTTAGAAACGCCAGTGGGGGTGAGTTTTGGGCTGTGGGAAGACACTAGTGCGCTCGCCCCACCAGATCGACAGCCGGGCAGGTCAGTGCTGGCTCTTGGTGGCACCCGTTGGGAGTTTGCTAATTCGCCAGGATGTGTGGTGTGTCTGAATGTGCATATGGGACCAGTTCCAAGGCGTGTGCCTGTCATCTCTTGCCTTTTTCACGTTTTCCCAGGTGTAACACGGCTTGCTGACATCAGTTTACACAACCCAGTCAGTATTTCTGTCCCGGATGAAAGCCTATGTCAGTTTGACCTAGAGGACAGAGACATTTTTGAAGACTGTGATCTACAAACTAGCGAAGAGCTGGACGGCTTTGCAATTCCGGAGGGTCTGGAGCAGTACGTGGCTTTGGTTCCCAGCAAACTGAGGCTGGTCTCCCTGGCGGCCTTCCTCCTGCAGAAGTGCCAGGTAGGACTGGGGGCCAGACCTGGCTCCACCGAGGGGAGCGAGTGGTGTCGTTTGGATCAGGCACTGGTGGCAGTCAGTTGAGATGCACGCACACAGTCGTCCGACCTAACTGCGAATGTACACTTGAGTAGGGTCAGCCAGTGGTTCTAGGATTGTGGTGAGAGCAGAGGTCAGTGACTGTTTGCCATTATGTTCAACTTGAAATCTGCCTTAAGTATCTTTCCTGGGACCAGTGTTGGAAATGTCACAGGTAGTAGGAACGTGCTAGATGTGAGACAGCTAGGGGCCTGCACTTGCACTTTTGCAAGATGCCAGTATTTAGATATTTCTTTGCTCGTTTCATATGGCACTTTCTCTGGTACATGGGGAAACAGTAGGTGGAAGGGCTTAAGAAGGAAGCGCCAAGGTGCACTGTATGTGTCTGAGCTGGGTGGTGGTGTGCGTGGTGAGGCCCCAGCGAGTGAACAGTGATGTACAGCTGCACCCTAACTCGTGCTTCTGGGTGTGGGAACTTGATACGGTTATAGCTGTCATTTCCCTTTCCTGCCTCGTAGCACGCATAGCAGTGTTATTTTAAAAAATAACTCAAAGTCGTCTGTCACCTGTTTCCAGATGGGGGCCAGCATGACCGTATTTTACAGAAATACTCATTTCAGTGTCACCTAATAAAAACATGTGGTGGTTTTTCCCCTTTGTATTGATGCAGTTTGAAACTGACCAGAAGGTGATCGTCTTTTTCTCAAGTTGTGAGCTGGTGGAGTTCCACTACCACCTCTTCCTCCAGACCTTGCTGAGCGGCTCAGGGGCCCCAGCGCCAGGGCAGCCACCATCTGCCTGCACGCTTTTGAGATTCCTGCGGCTGCATGGCAACATGGACCAGGAGGTGAGCAAGCCCAGGTCCTTCCAGCTGAATGTGCCCTCCAAGGTCACCACTGGCTGCCACCGGGCTTGGGCAGGCGTCGCCTGGAGTGGGCAGCCCATGGGAACTACTGGAAGCAGTCACCCTGCCCGTGGGGTGTGGGCAAAGGAAGCCTATTGTTCTGCTCGCCTGCTCCGGGAGCTGGGCTCATCCACCTGAGAGCTCACAGGCCACTTGGCCTGCATCTACCTCAACCAGCTGTTAAGGCGACAGAGCACCACTAAGTAGCTGGCACCAGGGAAGGGTTTTGCCTTTTTAGTACCCAGTGTGTAATTAGGGCTTGATGTCTTCAAATTAAGAGCATTAATGGAGCTAAATTGTGGCTCCCATATGGTACTGCTGAGCGTGACTGCTGTCGTTGTCAACAAGATGCAGCGCTCGCTCTCAGCACTTTTGGGCGAGAGGGTCTGTGTGTCTCAGCTCTGCCTCGGCTTCGAGTCACGTTTTTGTTCAGGAAGAAGAGGAGAACATTTTCCTTATTTTAGATTCTTAGCTATGTAACTCAGTTCACTGCCTGTAAGTAGACCATCCACTTAGGGAGTTGGGTGGCGTGCAGAGTGGGATGAAGTCACCGAGTTGTGCAGGGAGGGACGGACAGGGCCTGAGAGCTGAGCCGTTTTGTCCTAGAGGCTGGGTTACAGGCAGCTTAGAAATGAGACGGAGTAAAGGAAAGCCAGAAATCAGGGTAAGATTGGACTAGAAGCAGCTGTAAAAATAGTAATAGTTTTAGAGCTACAAGAGACATTAAAGATCATCAAATCCAGTTCCCGTTTGTTTTTGCTTTTTTGTTTTAATAATTCAGGAAATGGAGGTTCAGAAAAGCGAATTTGCTCAAGGTCACTCAAGGACATAGCCAATTATTTGCCACAAGATTATGTAGAATTTCCTGAACATTTCAGCTTTTGTGATTTTTATACGCTCTTGGTTTTTACCTTCTGGATCCCTGCTTTAGTCGATGTTGTTGATTTGATGATGCAGTACCACTTAGGGCGTTTTCTTTTTTGTTTGGTCAGTTTCCTAGCCCCCTGGGCCTGCTGTCACGAGGCAGTGTGCACAGCAGACGGGCTGGCGGAGCTGCGTGTGGGCTCGAAGGTGTGGGGATTCGAATAGATCACACAGGAGACTCTCTACTTAAAGTAGTTCCACCTCCCGTCCTAATAGGCTGGCAGTCTCAGGTGTTTATGGCTGTGTGTTCGGGGACAGATTCCTGGTTCTAGTCCTGGCTCTGCTGCTGACCGGCTGTGTGACCTCAGAAAAGCGTTTGACCTCTTGGTGCCTCAGTTTCCAGGTCTCTGAAATGGAACTAATAGTAGTACTTCATGTGGTTCAGACGATTGAGTTTATGCAGATCAAGTGCTTCACGTAGGGCTGGCACATAGTGATTGCTCAGTGACTGTTAGGTACCATTATCATTGTTATTTCTCCTTCAGGAATAGTTCATTTCTTTCAGTTCAATAATTGTTGGTATTTTGCTTACGCTGTTTTGTTAAGTAGCCTTCTAGCCTCCCCAGGAGACAGGTAGAAGGTGGGAGGGAGTGTCTGTATCTCATCTGGTAGATACGAGGATGAGTATCTTGTCCCAGACTTAGCTGAGATAGTCCATCACATACTCCTGGCCACTGTTGCACGTGACCTGCGGTCCCTCGAATGATTGACACGACCCCAAGTGTGGGCATTGGAGAGAAGTGACGGTTTGAAGCTGCTCTCCAGTGGTTGTGAGGAAAGCGCAGGAGCTGGGTCTCCTCCTCTCCCCACCTCTGGACGCGTCACGGACAGGCTCCGAGATGTGCCCCCGCTTTCAGGAGCTGCCCTGGTCTGACTGTGCGATGCAGCCTTAACGCTGTCCCTTATAAAGGCCGTGCAGCGAGCAGGGCAGAGGCGGTCGTCCTCGCGAGGGTCCAGCCACAGATTCTGGAACACAGCTCCCTGGGCTCAGGCATTAGCCCAGCCCTTTACTGTGTGCGGATCCCTGGGCATGTTCCTCAGCCCCCGTGCCTTGGCTTCCCCGGGAGGGGGTGGGAGCACCTGCTCGGAGGGCTGCTGTGAGGATTAGGGCAGTGCCCACGTGTACAGCGTGGGCGGCGTCTGGTACCGGCAGCGCTCAGTGCACGATGTTTTCAGTGTCCACTGTCCTAAGTGAGGGTCCCTTGGCGACATGGTGGCTGTGCCAGAGTGCAGGGAGAAGCTTCATTTTTTTTCTTTTTATCCTCACTCGAGGACATTTTTGCATTTATCTTCAGATAGAGTGGGCGGGAAAGAGGGCGGAAGTGGGAGAGAGAAACATTGATGTGAGAGAGACACATCGACTGGTTGCCACTCGCACGACCCAACCAGGGCCGGGGACAAACTGTAACCGAAGTACATGCCCTTAGTGGGAACCAAACCCAGGACTCTCTGGTCCGCAGGCCGATGCTTTAACTGCTGAGTCAAACTAGCCAGGGCTCTTTTTTTCCAAATTTGTAGTAATTTTGCTATTTCCCTTTTTTTGTTGTTGGGGTCAGATGGACATGGCTGAGTCTCAGCTGCTTGTGAGACTAAGACTGTGGCTTTGCAGGTTCCCCCAGAAAGCCTTTAGTATGCACTCCTTTTGGTCCGTGAAGTCTGACTTTAGGAATTTACCCAAAGTGAATAGTTATGCCCACATGACTTACCTACAGAGACGTTTGTCACAGCTTGTTTGTAGTAGTAAACTAGGGGTCACAGCCTCAGTTGCCAGCAGTGGGTATCAGCCACCTAAATGGTAGCGCATCCATCCGGCTGGATCCAGCTGTGTTGTCACAGGAGAGAGGGTGTGGTTAGGGTGTCTGTCGTCATGTTGTGGGGAGGTGTTCGTGTTTGGTTGGCACGTGACCCGAGTGTTTGCAGTGTTAGTGGTTCGGGCCATCTTTTAGGAGCCCCTCCTGGGTTTGTTTTGCACAGGAAGGCCCAGAAACAAGGGTTACCTTGCTGTGTTTTGAGTGGTGGGATATTGCGTTTTCTTCAACTTAAATATAATTTTTCTACAGTTAAAATACCTGGGTTTATAATTTTTAAATAATTTTTAAAAAATTAGTTCTTAACAAAATTTTGCTGCAGGAAATGTGGGTTATCTTCGTTCCTCTCGCCCACCTGTAGGAAAACGTGCCCTGTGGGCTGTCCCCGTCCCCGGGTGGGCTGCTCTGGAGGGAGCGCCCAGCCTGACTGCTCTGACACATGCCGTCCGGCGCTCTGTGCTCTGTCAGAGTCCAGTCCTGGGCCTGCGGTGCTGTGGGATGTGAAGACACACTGCTCCCTCCTCCTTGCGAAGCCTCTGTGTTCCGTGCCGAGTCCTGCAGCCGCAGAGAGGGGACCGGGAGGCCATGGGCGCAGCCTGCCCGCTGGGGTCGGCCTCCGAGCTGTAAGGCTTTCTCGTTGCTTTGTAGGAAAGGACAGCAGTGTTCCAGGAGTTCTCACGAGCCAGAACGGGCGTCCTCTTCTGCACGGTACGTACCAGCCTGCTCCAGCTGAAGCTTGAACTCTTCCGTAATTGGCGGTTGCATTTTTTTTCTCTTGACAATTTGCCTTGTGGAAGCCCCACAGACACTGGGCCTCGTGGTGTGGCTGGTCCCTTTGCACTTCTGGTTGGTCACCTGACTTTGTCACAGGTAGCCACTGCCACTGTGCAGAAGACTCAGCAATTTGCTCACTAATAGTGACAGCTGTTGGTCTGAAAACGTGTGAATCTTGGTGGTTTCTATTCACCAAAAACTTGTAAATTACAGCTATCGGGAGTAATTAGAGCTGAGAAAGTCTTTCCGCAGCAGGATCGCTCTCCTCACCTCCGTTCACCTCTCCTTGCGGGAGAGCAGGTGCACTGGGCAGAGTTGGTCTGCTATTGTCTAAAACTCATTTGCCCTGAGTTTCAGGCCTCCTCCCGCACAGCACTGACCTTTTGAATGCACGTCTCTCGTGCTTTTTTGAGATGGAAGGTCAACTTTTGATGGTCTCTGGGATGCACTTCTCCTTAGTTGTGGCTCACTCCCAAGATGAAAATACCTTCCGTTTGCTCCGTTGTGGGTGATGCAGCTTAATCCCCGACTGAGTCCCGACATCCTTGTCTGCATGGTAGTGAAAGTGTACTGTAAATGGGGTAATCCTGTGGCCACGTGCTGGGCAGAGACAAGCGTTTAGCTCTTTAAACACCTGGCTAGGCCTCTTGAACGCAGTTACTTCTGTGGAGCTCCTACTCTGTATTCAGTGCAGGGGTGGGGAACCTTTTACTGCCAGGGGCCATTTGTTTGTTTGTTTTTAATTTGTTTTCTTTATTGATATTGGAGAGGAAGGGAGAGAGAGAGAGATAGAAACACTGATGAGAGAGAACATCATTGGCCTCCTCCTGCATGCCCCCCACTGGGGATCAGGCCCACAACCTGGGCATGTGCCCTGACCGGGCACTGAACCGACGACCTCTTGGTGCCTGGGTCGATGCTCAGCCACTGAGCCACACCTGCCGAGCATGCCAAGGGCCATTTGGATATCGAGGGCCATACAAAATTGTCAGCTTAAAAATTAGCCAGCTATATTTGGTGAGGCTGATTTGGTGAGGCTGGTACTGATTTCGAGGGCCTCATGTGGCCTAAGGGCCGGCTGTTTCCCACCCCTGCAAGTTAGCAGTTGTTTTCTTCCAGACAGAGTGTATGGGTGAGTGCTACTGTCTTTCTTGTGCATGGTCATACATAGGACAGCATGCCGGTCCCATGTGCTGATTCTCCTGTGTGGCAAACGGCGGCTGTGCCAACCATGGTCGGTCAGAGCTGAGAACAGTTACTGCAGACTGCTTGCCTCATCTGGAGGTCCGCGTCTGACCAAGTAGTCCTCTCCTTCAGAAGCCCATCCGCAGCCAGGTGTTTATGTTTGCTCTAAAACTGTCTTTATGTATTTATTTAAATCCTCAGTCGAGGATATTTTCCCATTTATCTTAAGATAGAGTGAGAGGGAGGGTGGGAAGGAGCGAGAGAGACATTGAAGTGAGAGAGAGACATCAATTGGTTGTCTCCTGCAAGACCCGGACCAGGGACCCTGAACCACAACCAAGGTAAGTGCCCTTGCCCAGTATCGAATCCGCAACTCTTTGGTCCTCAGGCCGACGCTCTAACAGCTGAGCCAAACTGTCCAGGGCTCTAAAACCATCTTTAAAGGTGAAGACGGGTCCAAGTAATTATCTACTCGATAAAGAAGTTTGTCAGAAGTCCTTGTCATGTCCGATAGTACTTTCTGGAACCAGAGCCCTCCTGTCTCCTCTTATTCCTTACCCTCAACCAAGCAAGCTCCTCTCTCAGCTCCTGGAATGTGTCATTCTTGCTTTTTCTGGCCTTGGGGACTTGGTATATGCATTCCCTCTGCCTGGAACACCCTACCTTGACTTTGACTAACCCCTGCTTAGGTGTCAGCTTAAAGCTCGTTTTTTCCGGAAATAGATCCCCCAGTCCTTCCCTATGAGGCGTTCCTAGTTCTTACCAATGCTCATCACACCTGGGCTAGGTGTATTCCCACTGATGATGAGTTCATGAGGACAGGGACTGTGTTGTTTGCAGTTCCGTCCCAGTGTCTGGCACAGAGCAAGCGTGCAGTAGGCACTCTGTATTTGTGGATTAAATGTATGGACAGTTAGGGCCCAGGCAGGACACTCAGTGTGGAGAACCACCAACGTATGCCTCTTTCTAAAGGCTGAGACGGCTGACATTAATATACTTGCTCCTTGGAAATAAGTTCACTTTTCATACGTGTCGTGTTACCTGAGGAATGAATGTTCTACATTGTTTACATTGAAACAGCTGTAGAAACCTCTGCTGGAGTTGGGGTGAGGATGGGAAAAAACTGTTTCATCCTTGACCCTCAAGATGCTGGATTTGTCCCTGGTGAGGAATCGTCATGGTTCTTAGTGTTGGTTTTTAAAAAAAATTTTTACTTTTTTATTGACTTTAGAGAGAGAGGAATGGAGAGGGAGAGAGAAACACCGATGAGAGAGAACATTGATTGACCGCTTCCTGCATGCCCCCTACTAGGGATTTGGCCCACAACCTGGGCCTGTGCCCTGACCGGGAATCGAACTGGTGACCTCTTGGTGCGTGGGTCGATGCTCAACCACCGAGCCACACCAACGGGCTTAGTGTGGTTTTATAACATGGGTGAGCTCTGAATCTCCAAGAAAACTCTCAAGTATTTGAAGTTCAGTTTTTTGTTTTGTTTTGTTTTCTTCATGGAAGAAAAGATCATTCCTTCTGAAATGTAATTCTCAGGGGATCAAAACATAGAATGACTTTCCTTGCTCTGTCTGGCTGCAGGCAAGTGATACCAGCTAGACATAAAGTGCTGTTGACTTGGCAAAGCTCTCACCCCACCTTCCGTGCCCTGCCAGCCCTGGGCGCTGTGTGGAAAGCAAGCTCTCACTTGCCCACAATCTGATTTCTCTACAACTTCTGGGCGTCTGCTCGCTTGCCGAGGTCAGTCCACTAGACCAGTCCTCTCTAGTGTCATCCGTCCTTCCTCTGTGGTGACGGTCTCTGGAGAGGGCTGGGTGGGCCTCATCCCCCTTCACTTCTAAGCAGGACAGAGCACAGGCTCCCTGTGCGGGTTCTTCATTCACTCGCTCTCCTTCCACTGCGGCGTGTTTGCTTTAGCCTGACACCTCTGGTGTCTGAGACCGTGGGGAGCACACGGCACGCTGTGATAGATCACGCCTGGGTGGGGGAGAGACTGTCATCCTGCCTCCTCTTAGGCAGCCTGTTGCTTGCCAGGTTCTCTGAACGCTCTCCAGGAGCCTCCTTAGTGTTAATGAGGAGCGTGGGCCACGTCAGGACAGGCAGATGGGAGCTGCATCTCCGGATAAAGAAGCATGGTGGTGTTACTGTTGTGTGGGGATTCTCCCCCTTATCTGCTACCTTTGCCATTTTGATTTATCATCCCAGGGTCCTTTTAACAAGGCCAGAAGACTGAGTGTCAGCATGAAAATGTGAGAATTATGGTGTAACCACATAAAAGCTTAGAATTAAACTATTTTCTTTATGCTAGAAATGCCTCCCTGTGCCCCGTCTTCCTCCCTGCTCTCTTATGTTACCAGGAACATTGAGGACGTGTGTATGTGTGTGTGTTTTTTTCATCTTGATTATAAACATCTAAAAACAAGGATCTTTTCATTTCATGCACCAAAATCTTCCAGGACCTGGCACCTGGCTCTGTATTCAGTGGGTTCTCAGTAAACACGTGGCCATGTGACATGGAGTCCAGACGGAGGGAGAAGGGCAGGGAAGACCAGTTTTTGGAGGCAAATCTTTATACATTTTAAGTGTAACTTGTGTTCTCCAGAAAATTAGATCTAAAAGCCAAGTTAAGAAGGGAGCAATGATTAGCAGGAAGGAGTCATTTGAAAGTTCAAAGCCCACTTTCCCAAATGGATTTAAGAAATCAAAGGAATCAGAGATAAGGTACTGAATTATCTACAACATGGTTTTAATACCCTTGTTATGTTGATGAGATGTAATAAGAAATACCACTGAGAGCCTGGAAAGTGAATTTCCCATCTGCCTCTGGTTTTAAGGATGATGCGTGGTGCTTCCCTGTTGTCCCTGAGTACTCAGGCACGATGACCTTCCCCGCCAGCAGACACCTCCACCCTTCCACCTGGCTCTGCGATCCAGCGCCGTCCAGCGCCTGCGTTCTTCGGGGGTAGCTGAGTCACCTGTGCTGCTTTCCTCCACCTTCTCCGTGTTGTGATTTTATTTTGGTTATTTTTGCTAGAAGTACACGATTATGTCTGCGGTTCTCAGTTTCCTCCCCTCCTGGGGAATTTCCACTGTGCCAGGAGGCCCGAAGACAAAAGAGCTCGGCCGCGAGAGTCATGAGCATGTCACTTAACCCAAAATAAATGTAGGCTTTCTTGGTTTTCTCTGGGGCCTGTTTTTTAGGTAAAGTTTCTCATTTCCACTCTATTTCATCGTGTTAATGGCAAGATCCTTGGGAGATTGTTGGCTTTTGACTCAGTTACGCTAACTCATGTTGCCAGTTTTTTGGCGTCTCCAGCCAAGATCTCTGCCTCTGACAGCTTCTGCACTCTCCCCTTCCTCCTCTGTTTACGCAGCCCAATCTGTCACCCGGACAACGGGGGCCTGTACCCTGCTGATGGCTTTCCACACACGGCAATAATGACTTTTGGCAGGCCGGGAAGGCGGCAGAGGCAAGTCCGCCACGCTCCTTCCACGGAGTGCGGCAGGCCCCTCTCCCTGTTAGGGAAAGCACTTTGTGAGGTTCTTGGGTAAATAAATGAGTCATTTTAATCCAACTGACAGGCTGGCACCTGAGCAAGCTGCCTTCCATCTGCACGCCTCGGTCTCATGGAGGCGGCCAGTTGTCAAGCCGGGCCTTCAAGGCCTCACCACTGAGCGTCTTTCAGAACTGACTTTAGCAGCTCTTCTGCCCTAATTATGGTGAAGGAACACAATGGGCTGATCTAAGTTCTGAGAGCGGGCAGGGACCGAGGCCTCTGCCGAGTCTCCTGGTGCCTGGCACTCTGCTGGTGGCATCCAGGAGGAGGGAGCAGGGTCGGGCCTCGCCCTCTGCCCCACGGGTGAGTGGGTGTGATGGGGGAGAGAGTGAGGAGGCTTTCGCATCCCTGCCTGGTCGCCTCCAACCCAGTTCTCACTTCATCCGGAAGTGGCATACTTAGAATTACAGTTTCCAGTGTTTATATACATGGTCTCGTTTGGTCTGCACTGTAACCTCAGGAGATAAATAGGGCAGGTCCTGTAGCCATTTTCAGGTGTGTGAACTGTGGCTCAGAGCTGTCGACTTGCCCAGGTGGTATGGCTGCTGAAGGGATACTGAAGTCCAGTCCTCTGTTCCTAGACCAGGAAGATTCCCTCCTATTCTGCATGTAGCCCAGGCTCAGACCAGAAGGACACTTAAAGAAAGAGCTGGATTAAGTCTGAGCAGTGGTTGGATATCAGTGAGGTCCCCCCACCCCAAAACAAGAAGTGGGAGACATGGAAGACCATCTGAGCCTACTGTCATGAGCTAGGCCACTTAGGCGGGAGGCAGAACCCTGAACAGCCGCAGGCTGCGGGCATTCTCCTAGCTCACCACACCCGTGCGTTTGTACTTGGTGAGTTTCATGAACGTCACACACTAGTTCAGAGTTTCTTGGTTGAATTCACTACACTGGTGAACGTTGCATGTTCCGCAGAGCCTGCCTGTCTGTAAAGCTCAGGCGGCCATAGTCTGCGTGCATCCCCCCTGCAGAGCACCTCAGCAAGAGAATCATAACCAGAGCTCAGCAGATTGGAGAAGCCATCAGTGTTTCTGAAGGCGTCAGCTGTGGGTAGTGTAGAATGCCGTTCCCGTGCCCCTTTCGGTAGCAGTCTAGTGTGCAGAGGCACTGCCCAGGACAGCAGCCTTCAGCTCCAGAGCGCACGGGGTTGTCTGAAAGCATCTCTGGGTGCTTGGCGGTTCGCGTGCATTAAACTTTTGCTGAGCCCGTCTTGAAGGCAGCCTGGCCACCACTGGAAGGGGGCCAGCCCGACCCGCGTGTGCTCAGTGAAGGCTGAAGAAGCCTGTCCTGCCCTCAGAGCTCCTGGGCATGTTAGATGTTAGTGGCACGGTGTCTTCCTCGGCCATGCCTGCCTCTGAGCCTGGGGGACACAGGAAGCGATGGTTTTAACATGCGTCTTGCAGAAACTTTGCACAGGATTACTGTTTTTCAAAAAAGCCAGTTATGCATATGAATCTTTAGTGTATTTGTGAGTGAGGGGAGAGGGAAGAGGTCTGTCCTGGGGGAAAATGCCAGCTCTCAGATGGAAGGAAGGGATGCTGGGCAGAAGTCATCCTTGCAGCCATCAGGGTAATAGTTGAGACAGTCAAGCTGCACCACAGTTGCTGAAGCCACTGGGCGGAAGGATTTGGGAAACAGTCTCCAAGCTTCACTTCTCAGTTTACTTCTAACTACAAAGGCAAAAAGTACCTTCAGATGGGGAGAGCTGGTGGGCGACTGGACACGGCTCCGCCAGCACAGGACAGACCACTCTGGCGCGTCTCTGATGTCACGCACCGGGCAGTACACACGACGTTTGAATCTGAACTGATTATTAGGAAATAACGTTACTCAACGTTGGGTTTCTTGGGGGTGATAGCGGTGCTGTGGCCATGCAGAGGAATGTGCTTTTACTCAGGAGAGGCATGCTAAAGCATTAGGGGAGAAGAGTCGAGATGTTTCCAACGTACTTACGCTGGTTCAGAAACGTGTGTCGAGAGAGGAAAAGAGGAAGCAGACATCCCAACCGTCAGCAACCAGTGAATCCAGGTGAAGACAGACAGGTGCTTATTGTACTATTCCAACTTTTCCGTAGGGTGCATTTTCTAAATAAAAATTAGAGGGGCAATGTGTATTCATTGTTAAAAGGAAAACAAAACAGCCCTAGCCAGTGTGGTGCAGTGGTTAGAGTGTTGGCCTGTGCACTGAAGGGTTGTGGTTTGATTCCCAGTCAAAGACACCTACCTGGGTTGCAGGTTCAATCCCTGGCCCCAGTTGGGGCATATGTGGGAGGCAACCAGTCAGTGAGTCTCTCTCACATTGATGTTTTTTCTCTCCCCTCCCCTTCCCTTCCACTCTCTCTAAAAAGCAAAGGAAAGCCCTAGTGGGCTTGGCTCAGTGGTTAGAGCGTCGGCCTGTGATCCAGAGAGACCCGGGTTCGCTTCCCACTGGGGGTGCGTACTTCAGTTGCAGTTTGTCCCCGGCCCTGGTTGGTCGTGTGGGTGGCAGCCACTTGATGTGTCCCTTCACGTTGATGTTTCTCTCTCTTCCTCTCCCTCCCGCTCTGTCTGAACAAAAAAGAGGGAAAGGTGTCCTCTGGTGAGGATAGGAGAAAAAATAAATAAATAAAAAGCAAAGGAAAAAATATCCTTGGGTGAGAATTAACAACAAAAAAGAAATACAAAACAGCCAGAAAAATGCAAAGAGAAAAGTAAAAATCACCCCAATCCCTTTACCTGGAGATAACTCAGTTGGCAGTTTGAGAGACCCCTTCCGGTGTTGGTTCTCAGCTTCTCTACCAAGCCATCTGCCCATTAATCCACCTGAGTAATGTTTAATTTAGGTTTGGGTTTTGACCTGTTTTCCTTGACTTTTTTTGGTGGAAGAAACCAGGCGATTTGTCCCATCCTGGGTTTGCCTGATTGTGTCCCCGTGGTGGTGGTTGCCTTGCCCTGTCTCCCCTGATCTCTCCTAAGCTAGTGGTTAGGCCTCGGCCCCTAGGTGGGTCCAGGCTCTAGGGTCTGTCCTGGTGAGAACAGGTGGACCCTGTCACTCTTACAGGTTCAGGCGTTTACGGGGTCTGCAGTTACAAAGGTCCCCTGAGGGAAGTCCAGCGTCTGTCCTCCCTCACCTGGCCTCTTTCTTCCTCTTCAGTAACTGTTTTTATAAACTTTTGGGTTTTCCCCTTTATTATTCCTTTTAGAAGTATGGGCAAATATGCTTTATTTTCCTCATTTTTCACACAAAAGTATACTACACACACTTGAGATACACCCGGAGTCCCGTGTCAGTCCACAGGAACCCTCCTCCTCCTCGCGGGTCTGGCGCTCTGCGCGTGGGGCGGGTGTCGCCGTGCTGGATTCACTGTCTCCTGCCAACACGAGTGGCCTTGCACGTGAACCAGTGTGTATTCTTGTCAGTGTATCCTCAGGATGGATTTCGAAAAGTAAGATTGCTCTGAGTCAAAGGACAAGTATATAGCAATTTTGCTGGATGTTACCGAATGCCCCCAGAGGGGTTTATGCTGTCCTGCATTCCCACCACGGCGCGTGAGAGGGCAGCGCCTTCGCTGGCGCCGGAGCCGTGTGATACAGCACGGCCTTGGAACTGTGGTTGTGGAGAAGATCATCAAGGTGACGCAGGTAGAGGGCTCCAGGGGCATCTGGGGTGTGGTGCCTGCCCGGTCAGCGCTGACTGCAGGCGTTCTTGTCAGGACTGCTAGCTTGAAGGTGAGTGCCAAGTGCCAGTTCACTGCCGAAGACCGGAAGATTCCCGCGTTCTGTATCTGCCCGAATGGCCCGGCAGAGTCTCTGCACTCAGGTGGCCGCCAGCTGGAAAGAAAGAAGAAATCGCTGCTTTTATAGTTTCACTTGTCTGGTCATGTCTTCGGCCTGTGTTCTGCTTTGGCTGTCAGAGAGGCAGGGCGTTGCTGGACCCTTGCTGCCCTGCGGCTGGTGGCCACAGTAAATACGTTGCAGCTCGCCTCCACGTGGGAACGCCGAGTGACCTTCCAAAGCCCACGTCAGCGCCGGTGGTTGCTCGTGTTTCTGGTAGGTATGGAATGGGGATAGTGACCACAAATGCGTCGCCTGGAGTGGTTTTCAGAGTTCTTCCGAGGCGCTGAGAGTGACGTGTGAGATCCTGGGCTCCCTGCAGGTGCCGGTCCTGTAGGGAGGGGTTGAGACTGCCTCGCCAGCGGGCTCTGTAGCACTTAGCCTGCGTCTGAACTTCGAGCCCCAAATGGACTGGACGGCACCCTCAGGTCGTGTGCAGACGTGTGTGCGTGAGAACATGCACATTGGTGCCGGTGAGCCCTCGTCTATGTGCGATCATCAGTGGGTCCATGACCCCAAATGGTTCAGAAACCCAGTCCTAAGCCATATTCTTTTCTGTTTTGAAGGATGTTGCAGCTCGGGGCTTAGATCTCCCTCAAGTCACATGGATTGTTCAGGTAATTTTTTAGTTGTTAAGGTGTGAGCTCGAGGCAGGAATACATGATCATGAGTAGATGTGTAGGCTCTAAGTAGAATAATTATTATTGCCCTCCTGGGTGTTGCCCTGGTAACGAGGCAGCAACCGACCTTATTTGCACAATTCTCATGACCTGTTTCCTTAACTCAGCCCTCCTAACTGCTGCAGCAAAACAGCCAGACTGCAGTTACGGGAGGGGGGTGGACAGGCCTCCTGGATCCCAGACTGAGGCATATCACACACAAAGTTTCAGCAACCTGAAAATAACAGGAATTCCCCGGGCCCCTGGGAGGCCTCATTGAGTCCAGGAGGAGATGGCTCAGCTGTCCTGAGAGCCGTGCCCTGTACATTGACCTGCAGGGGGCAGTTAACCCCCTGTCAGCATCTTACACATAGCTCTAGCCTTAGACGCTCTGCCAGAGGGTGCAGGTGTTAGCCCCAGAGCCTGCTGGGTTTAGTTTTGTTTTTTCTTTTTGTCAGACTGCAGAATGGTATTTTTAAGCCCTTCTGTGTGGGGCCAGGGGACACACACCCTGTGTCCATGAGTCATGGTTTATTCACATTCCAGTGCAGTTGCCTTCCTGTTGCTAGCTGGGGAGTCTGCTGTGCTGGCCGCAGATGATCCCTTTGCAACTAGAGACATTGTGTCTTCTGTGCTGCTGGCCACAGAGCGAGGCAAAGATGAGGAGGCGAGGGCGTTTCAACGTGTGGCAGCTGGGACAGAATCGATCATTTAGAGCCTTATATTGTGAATATTGATTAGTTTAATATGCCTGGCCTCCCATGTATTGTACTCATCTTGGCCTTCTGATCTTTGATTCATCTAACAGCAGAGGGGAGAAAAGGAAGAAGGAATATATGGTCAGTTAGTTTTGATGATGATGAAGTTCTTGCCATAGATAGTAGCTAATGCTGTGGGTAATTCAGTCTGCAGAGTTCTAGAGTCAGGAACACTGTCTGTGGGAGCAAGTTGTGTCCCTGTGGGAAGGCACATCTGCTCCGGGAGGAGGCTGCAGCCAGGTGGGGGGCCCAGCTCAAAGGGGCCCCGAAGCAGAGCTGACCTCTGGTCAGGGTCATCGGCCCCTTGCTCCTTGCCCTGTTCAGTGTCCTCACCCCCACCGCTTGTCTGCCAGGGAAGTAGGCCAAGGTCATGTGGTCATCTGCAGAGATTCACCCCCACCTGCCTACGTTTTCACCTTGCACATCACCGCAGTGAAAAGATGCAAATAGAAAATTGAAGAGACCTGTGGAGAAGTAAAATTAGAAAGGAGATGCTGGGACGAGAAGACATCTCGTGTCTCTGGAACTTGGCCACAGTTCCCGTTTGTGTGTCAGCCTTGTTATTTCCGATGAAGCGAGGAGATTCAGGGCTGAGTGACTTCTCCTGGTGCCTGTGTTAGGGTAACCATAGCACCAGGATTTAATTCTTGGGGTACCTGGAGGCAGGTGAGAGGAATTGCACTTCCAATTAATGGCAGTCCCTTGATCTGTGAATGCCTTCATTTCTGTTACCCTTTTTAGTACAACGCTCCGTCTTCACCCGCGGAATACATCCACCGGATCGGGAGAACCGCCCGCATTGGCTGCCACGGGAGCAGCCTGCTCGTCTTGGCTCCTTCGGAGGCAGAATATGTCAACTCGCTGGCTTCTCACAAAATCAAGTGAGTCAGAAACCTGAACGGGATTTCAGCTGATCTCACCTAATTAACTTTCTGTCGCTTCTTATAGTGGCTGGGCCTTGTAAGCTGACGAAGAGCCATTAACCCTTATGATCCCTAAATGAGTCCCAGAATAGCCAGTGGCAACAACTAAAACCCTTAATGCCATCAGCACATGACAGCTTTCATTGCGTCGGGAGACTGAGTCCTAGGACGGTCTGCGCTCTGTTTCCTTTCTCTCGCAGCCAGCTCCTTAGAGATCGTCGCTAGTCACAGTTTCGTTCCTTGCAATTAATGTTTTGTACCTTTAAAGTTGGTTTGTCTTTGAAAAAAACAATACTTGGTTCTCATCACACAGCCCCCTGTCCCTCAGGAAAACAAACCCGGGAGGCAGTGAGTGGGCGGCCGCTGACTCGGGCTGCGCCTCCTGGTCCTCTGCTAGACCCCCAGCGCCAGCCCTGGTCGTGCACAGAGGACTCAGGAGTGTGGAAGCTGAGCCCGGGCCTCCCATCAGGCCCTGACCTCACTTAGGAAAGACAAAGAAAGCAAACAGGAGAGCGGGGCTTCGACCTGGCCAGGCGTAATTATAATGCAAGCAGAAAGAATTCACAAGGCCTCCAGAAATTAATTTGTTTTGTCATATTTTCCATAAAATCTTTGACACCTGACGTAACAAGGTCTAATAACGGGCTTCTGAAGGCATGCAGATTCACACTGGTCCACGTTCCAGAACTTCTGCTCAGACCTAGCACAGCGGTGCAGAAAATGTCCGGAAGCACCGCAAGGCTGGGTCTGCCCGATGGCTGCCTGGGTGCCCTTGGCGCCCACGCTGCGCCGCCGCACTCGGCTCGGCTGCGCGGCTGGATGGGGGTCTCGCTTCCTGGTGCTCCCTTTGCCCAGGCTGTGCTCTCTGTAAGGCACCCGGTACGCTGCAGGGCTTGCTCCTGGGAAACCATTGCACCCCACATCTGAACCGGCTCTGGGGGACCCCAGGGCCCAGTGTAGGCCACCCACTGGGAGAGATGGGTGTACATGGCTGTCTCCAGCAGGACCTGCCGGGCTCTGCTCTGCTCCTGCTCAGCACACTTTCAGGGTTGCTGGTGTGGACTGTGGGCTGTGGCTCACTCAGAAATGTCTGCAGTGTTGGAGGAGACAGGAGCCCACTCCTAAGTCTGGTCAGTTTCAGGTGGGCTAAATAAAGTAAGGGTGGTCTGCATTTCTGCATTTTTTTTTTTTTTAAATTTAATGTGTTTCATCTTTTTTTTTTTTATCCTGGGGTGAGGATTTTTATTTATTTTTTTTAATTTTTTTTATCCTTACTTGAGGGCATTTTTCCATTTTTTGTTCAGACAGAGTGGGAGGGAGAGAGAGAGAGAGAGAGAAACATCGATGTGAAAGGGACACATCAAGTGGCTGCCACCCACATGACCAACCAGGGCCGGGGACAAACCATGACTGAGGTACACGCCCTTAGCGGGAACCGAACCCGGGTGTCTCTGGACCGCAGGCCAACGCTCTAACCGCTGAGCCAAACCAGCCAGGGCTAATGTGTTTCATCTTAAAACAGTCTTCCATTTGGAAGGGTGGTTTTATTTGTTTGGGGAAGATATGCATATTTTATCCTACGAGAAATCTCGTGTTGGCCAGTCACTTTTCACCGAGAGCTTCATCTTGGGCTTGGAAAGGAAGTTCAGAAGGATGAGGACAGGGAAATACCCAGACGGAGAGAGTTTAGTCTTTTGTGGAGAGAAGGTACCAGCTGGTGTAAGAACACTCATTCACGGGGACAGTCCTGTAGGGTCCAGCCTCGCTGGGTTTTGCCCCGCAGTCACCTGTGGACGTGCCTGTCTGACACGGACCTGCTTTGCGCGCCAGTGGGATCAGCCTCAGTGCCTTGCAGACCTGAGTCGGGGTCCTGTAGCTTTCCTCCCTGGTGTCCACGTGAGGAAGGGCTGTGTGTGGATATCTAAATATAGGCTGTTCTTCGGCTTCATACAAAAAAATCAAATCTCGTAAAGAACTAACGGCAGGGTGCGCTGTGGAAAGCAGCAGACGTGACCATTTTTGGAATCCAAAAGGTACTCCTAAATATTTGCTTATTTATTTTTAAATGTTTGTGTATTGATTTTAGGGAGAGAGAAACATCCATTTGCTGTCCCACTTACTGTGCATTCATTGGTTGCTTCTTGTCTGTGCCCGGACCAGGGATCAAACCCTCAACCTCGGCATATCGGAACGACACTCGAACCAACTTAACTACCCGGCCAGGGTGGAGTTCCTAAATATTTTTTAAAAAATAAAAAGGGAGAAAGAAAATGTGTGTTTTTCTGTGCCCATGAATCTGAGAGCCAGGCAGCAGGATGCTGGGATGGCTGGTGATTAGAGGGCTGATTGGGGGATGGCAGCGACACCTGGCTGCCTGCTTCACACTCTGTGCAGTGCCACCGCCCTGCCGGTTCAGCTTAGCAGGCAGGGCAAGAGACGGGCCTTGGGCTGTTGCCTCCTCGGAATAAATGCTCAGAACTTCTTTCTGTCCTTTTGACTTCTTTGTATTTGCCAACTCTTTCACTTTTCCCCACTTCTCCTTTAAATGTGTTTCTAATGAAAGTCATCATTGGTTTATTAAAATGTAAATGCTTCATCAAAATGTGTGTGTCTTAGATCAGGCATGAGACAGTTCCCTGACTTTGTTTATCTGCCTCTTTTCTTAGTAAGGTGGGTGGTTCAGATCTGTTGATAGAACCATAAATAAGCAGAGTAGATTTGCTTTGTTCCTCAGAAGCAGCAGTTTCTGGGGGTAGTGGGAAGGCCCTTCGCAACTGTGAAGGACTCCAGTTCACACTTGGCTCCTGCTCACAGAAGGTCAGTGGTCCAGTCTCTCTCTGCGGACACTGCCCGCAGCCGGGCCTGGAGGGGTGGCAGCAGTGCAGAGGGCGGGCCTCCCTGCGGCACCCTCAGCTCTGTGTCCCTGCCTGTGCACGACGCAGTGTTCCTTTCTCTCTCCCTGTTCACGATTTGATCCCAGGTTCTTATGTTTCTTTTACTCTTGTATTTCTCCTTTATTTTTCTTCAAGAAAGAAAGGGATGAATAGAAGCAAGTCAGATAGACAAAGGAAAAGATAGAATTGGGCTGTGTTTTCACCTTCTTTCAGACATTCAGGCATAAATAAGGCAGATTCAAAGCCATAACATTTATCTCATATGAAAATAGATTTTCCAAGAAGTTATGAGCATTTCCTCCAACTCCTGCCTCCATTATGTACTCCGCCTTTGCGGCAGACTCACTGCCACACAGGTGTCGTACCCAAGGGGCCCAGAGTGGCAGGGGCCGCACAGGTGTCTTACCCAAGGGCCCAGAGCGGCAGGGGGCTGCAGGCTGGGCGGGCAGGGAGAGGTGGCATCTTTCAGGTAAGCAGCTGTCAGAGACGCGACATTGTCATTCATGGCTTCGGCAGAGTAACCTTTAGGGGACGGGGGAGCATTGCCTTGTCCCACATAAGAGGTTGCTATTTGTGCCCTGGACGGTTTGGCTTAGCAGTTGGAGCGTCCGCTTGAGGTCCGGAGAGACCCGGGTTCGGTTCCCGCTAAGGGCACGGATCTCGGTTGCAGTTTGTCCCCGGCCCTGGTTGGTCGTGTGGGTGGCGACCACTCGATGTGTCCCTTTCACATTGATGTTTCCCTCTCTCTCTCTTCCTCTCCCTCCCTCCCACTCTATCTGTACAAAAAATGGAAAAATGTCCTCGGGTGAAGATAAAAAAAAAAAAAGGTTGCTATTTGTGTTTTAATCTGCAGTTATATTTTTTTAAAACAACAACATGTAAGACAATCATTTATCTTTTTATGTTCTGTTTTTCTCCCCCAGAACTCCCCCTTCCCTTTTCCTTCCTCCCTGGGAAGTGTCGGCAGCCGCTCCCATTTTCCTTAGTCTCTGACACGGGACTGCGCGCATTCCCACGGCTCTGGCTGGCTCCTGGTGGCTCTGCCGTGACTGTCAGTCGTTTGCACATGGCTCTAGACTCATCAGAGAGCGCTGGTCCTCATCCCTTCGCAGTCAAGAGACAAGAGTCCTGAGGACCCTTTAGGCATATTGGAAGGGGGTTCTGATGTGGACAGCAGGTGCTGGGCCCGCACTGACCTTCACTGGGTGTTTACCCCGTGGTGAAGGACCTTTAGTGTGCCCTTCACCTTTTCAAAGTCTAAAACAAAAGGAACTATCTGAAATGTTTTTATTTCACCATCTTCTGCTCAAGTCAAGGTAGTATATCAATAACTAGGCTTACTTACTTAGTATTGGAGGTTTATTAAGAAATAATGGCATTTGCCTTGGCCGGGTAGCTTGGTTGGTTAGTTAGAGCATCGTCTCAATATGCCACGGTTGTGGGTTGGATCCCCAGTCAGGGCACATCGGAGAATCAACTGATGAATGCGTAAATAGGTGACAACAAATCGATGTGTGTCTCTCTCCTCCCTCCCTCCCTCCTTCTCTCTTTTTAAACTCAGTATTTAAAACAAACAAACAACATTGAAAACAAAAGGAAAGGAATGACGACATGATCCCTGTAAAGTAAATTCTCAGTGCCCCGCACTTGCAGTTCATCTGGAGGAAGGAACTTACTGGGACTATTCCCCACTGGTCCCTGTGATGTTTCAAGGCTCCCTTCCTTCCAAGGCCCCGAAGGGTTTAGGGAAAGAGTCCCTTTCCTATGGAGTGCTGCTTCTCTTTGTATCTAGCTAGAGAGTAAGCCATCAGGAGTCTGATGATTGTGAGAGAATGAGAACTTTATCTTGCTCTGCCCTTCTTTTACAGCGTTTCTGAGATTAAGATGGAAGATATTTTGTCTGTTCTGACAAGGGATGATTGTTTTAAAGGGAATCAATGGGGAAGCCAGGTGAGTTTTATTATTTATTATGTTTGTTGCTAACAGATGTGACTGACTCCTCGACTTGGAGTAGCGGAGATTTTGTTACTGAGGGTTTTTCCTGTCAAGTAAAGTGCATGTTTGAGGGTTGGTAACATCAGATGAGCCCAATCTGATGTGTCTCTTCTCTCCGTTGCTTCTGGGTGTGTTTGTTGGTCTCATCCAGTAAATGGGCCACGGTCCATCCTGGAAGTCTGCCAGGCTGCAGCAGGCATCCCAGCACCAGGCCACCTGCTCGGCCTGGTGGGCCCTGTCCAGGTTGTCTCCAAGGACAGCCAACTCCACCGTCCACCCAGGACAGCAGGTCTCTTCAGACACACTTAGTTCATTCGTTTCTTAATGTGTGAACACAGAGGAAGAGGGAAGTTGAGATAGCAGAGCGTGGTTAGGATCCGGCAGCTCTATAAGGAGAGCTGGAGCAGTTGCCGCCTCTTTCCTGAGGCTTCCTTCCTGCCAGGCGCTCGGTTCCCCGCCCCCTCCTGCACGCTGCTCCTGACATCACATGACAGAGAGAGAGTGTGTGGTGCTGCTTCTGTCATTTTGTCCATAAAGTATTAATTATTCGGATATTTTGTTTGTTTTTTATGCCTGAGGGTAGACTGGAAAATCAGAACCAAATAGACAAAACGTAAGAGTTTCTTCCCTGTTAGCATGTGTGTTCATTTGGGTTACTGCTCTCCCAGAGGCAGGGACTCGATGGGACGGCCCTGACCTACCTTCTCTTGTTCCAGAGAGTACGTAAGGAAAGAAGAGGAAATGTCACTGCACCTAGCACCTCTGTGAGCTCTTCACACTCGGTCCCATTAATTCTCCCACTTTATAGATGAGGAAACTGAGGCCACAGAGGTGAAGGGACATTGACAAGGCACACTAGTCATTCATCCTCCTGGGCCGTGAGAACAAGCAAGCTAGCGTCAAAGCACACATCCTTGTACACCAGTATGCCTCCCTTGCAATTCCTACGCCAAGAGAATGGAGCTGTGTTCCTTTGTAAATTAGGTCACGTCAGCCATTCTTATAGAAGTGAAACCTTGGTCAGTAAATGCTACACTGTGAGTAAGAAAGGTGATGAAAGACTCAGTTGATCAACAAGTTATTTCAGGTGATATTTCCTATAAAACATCCCAGCCCAGTAGACATTGGACCATCCCTTCCTAACAGTTTGTTGTCAAGGCAGTGGACTAGTGACCAAAGACACTGCTTTTGCACACCTCTGTCCTTCTGAAACGATTGCAGATTCTAGTTGGGGTCTTCTTTGCTGTTCCCACAGACCTTCCCTGTGGCCCCAGGAGGGCTCTGGGATGAGCAGGGCACCCGGGAGATTTCAGGAGGCCATGTGCAGAGCTGTTAGGAGTGTGGCTTCGGGGTCACTCCTGGTCTCCCCTCCCAGATGCGTGCCTTTGGGCACTGCTGACCTTCCTAGTCCTCAGTTTCTCCATGTGTAAAATTGAGGTTGCAATAGTATTCTCATGAGGACACTCAAAAGCCCCAGCGCGGGTGCCGAAGGGCATTGTGTTGTTGCTGCTGTTCCACTAATCACCGTCGTTCCTGTCGCATCAGTTAATGGCAGCTGTGGACAGAGCCCACTCAGTGACACGAAGCCTTCTGTAGCGCCATGGTGGAACGTCTGTCCGTCTGCCTGCGCCTCAGAAATGAGCAGAGGGCCACAGCTGAGTCAGGAAGGGCTCAAGTCCATTGTGTTCCTGTTAATCCTCACCTGGGGCTATTTTCCACTGACTTTTTTGAGAGGGTGGGAGGGAGGGAGAAAGGGGGGGGAGAGAAACATCGGTATGTCTTGAGAGACACATGGATTGCCTCTCACACAACCTCGATCAGGGCTGGAGATTGAACCTGCAACCCAGGTAGGCGTCCTTGACCGGGAATCAAACCCGTAACGCTTTGGTCCAAGGACCAGCGCTCTAACCACTGAGACAGGCAGGGCTCAAGTCCATTCTTGATTTAGACGCTTTGGGCCCGGCCCTGATGTTGGTGTTTACCCTGGGCCATGCATCTCGGGGCCCTCCTGAAGGACAGTCCCCGGAGGAGGAAGAGCGCAGCCATGGTCCCCTCTGCTCCTCAGGAACAAGCCAGAGCCACTTCTAACATCCACTGTCTGGCCTCTTAGGGCCTTTACCTTGGCTCAGGGCCGGCCCCGAGCCTTGCTGGGCCCCGAGGTGCCAGGCCCAAGGTCACACACATGTGGGTTTGAGTCCTTGCTTCATAGCTGGTAGTTCTGCGTCATGGGTCAACGAGCCTCTCCCAGCCTCAGTTTCCCCATCTGTCAAGCCTGGAGATCCAGAGTGCCTGTTTGTGGGGTGGTTGAAAGGTTCAGTGAGACGAGGCATAAAGTGTTCTGCACACTCGGGGCCATGGAGGTTCAATGACTCCTGCTTGGGGGGCAGGGTAAACAATGTTTTGATATTTTTAAGGTTTGGTAATCTTTATTTTTAAAAAGAAAAAGTGCTAAGCAAGGGTGGGCTTTCCCTGATGCCAAAACACCTGTTAACTGAGGACACAAGTAACATTGGGTTCTACATGTCACGTGGATGAAATCTGCCTTGTTTGACGCAGTTTAACTTTAATTTAGAGGACAAAGAACAACTAAACCAAATCGACAATATTCTAATGATCACATGTTCACATGACCCATGTGAATAGTGGAAGGAATGTAGTAGATGCCGGGTCCAGCTTTGAATTCTCTTTCCCGTAACAAGTGCGTGCGTCTTGGCTGTTCTGGGCCGGGCAGCTCTCGAGAGCACGAGGCGGTGCGGGCAGGCGGCAGGCCCAGCAGCCGGCCTTGCCCGTGTGCAGCGGGCGGCTCGTTAGGCCGCCCTCCTCACTGCCTGCTTGGAGTCCATGGTAAGTGTCCCTTTGGCACGTACAATTTTGGGCTCCTGTGAACAGAAAACAAGCGAGTGAAGCATCTGTAAAATGTATATTTTATATTTAAGTATATAAAATATATATAGCTACGCCTGGGTGTGTGAATGTTCACCCACCTACAAAGAGAATAAATTTGATCTTTCAACTTTACTGCGAAGCACTCAGAAGTTTCTAGGGACTTGGGGAGAAAAACTCAGCTTGGCAATAACGTGATTAAAACAAAATCGTCTCATTTAGTTTTGAAATACTTCAGAAGTTGGCAATTTCAAGCTACATACTGCCCTCGGAAAAGCTGCTCTCCCCCACCCTGCTACCACTCACAACTTTTCACAGCAGATAAACTGGGTGTGGTTCTCTTCAACTCGTCTGTTGTTTCTTGATCGGTTGGAGTTGTCTCCAAAGTGCACACGTGCGTGCACACGCACACGGAAATGTTTTCCTGTACGTCCTCGTGTCCTGTGAAATGTGCTGGTGACCTTATCCTGACAGGGACTCACTGCGTCACGAGACCTCGAAGCCCCTTGCTTAGTGCCTTTTGGCTGTCTGTGTCCTCCAGGACCCGTCGGGTCTTCCAGACACGGGCGAGCGCGGCCGGGCGGCAGTGAGTTCTCCAGGCTGCTCGGGTCTGCTGCTGCAGCTGGCTTCATTAGTCAGCCCTGAGCCTGGTGTCTGGGGCGTGAGCGGCAGTCCTTTGGGGCTCACGTGCGCTCAGGGGCTTGACCCCCTCATTATGGGCGCAGTTTACCTGTCTGGGCTGAGCTGGGACTGCGTCACTCTGCCCCTGTGTCTTTGGTTTAAATTTAGGCCGTCCTTTCCAGAAGGCAACTGAAAAACACTTCATTCATTCTCAAGAGGGGCAATTTTAAAATAAGGTATTTCTGGAAGCAGGGGTGGGGGTAGTAAGACATGCTTTTTCCAAAATATATTTTCTGCCATTAACTTTTTCTCACATTTTACTGAAACTGACCTCATCATTTCAGACGTGTGAACTTAGTTTTAACACCTTTTTCTACATATTCCACTTGTATGCACACTCACATTTTATGTGTGTGTGTGTGTAATTTTTTTTTTTTTTTGGTTGGGAAGAAAAGATGCCTCATTTTGAAGCCTAAAGGGGGGAATAAGAAAAGCCCTTTGTAATATATTGCCATATTATCACTAAGTCCCCTGACAGTTGTGTCACTGAAGCAAGTCACCTGTCACTTAAGCTTGAGGTCTCTTTAATTTTCTCCTGGAATTCGCACCAGGCTGTCTTTAATTTGAGGCCTTTATTGGAATTCTGAAACCTCTCTGCCTCCCTGGCTCTCAGATCTATTCTGAGAGCTGTTACAGAATGTATACAATAACCAACAGAGGGATTCGAGAGGGCTGGAGCTCTGTTTATTTAACACTCTAGAGGGATTTTTGTGCTTATTCGGTCCTGGCTGCCCGGCTTTCAATATCGCTTTGACAGCCATTCTGCCCTTCTCATTAATTTTAAACAGTTAAAACACAGGAAAAAGAGGGAAAAGTTTTCATTATTAAAGTGCTTTACTTTTTAATAACAGAGGATTCTGTCCGCCAGGGGAAAGGGCATCCTCGCTAATTTCACATTCATATTTTTTAAAAGTCACGAGGAAGGTGACAGAGGTGCAGTGGAGGTGGCTTAACGAAAGGAGGACAGCACAGGAAAGTTTGCATCTCACATCAGTTAAGAGGGTGGAAAAAATCCTTGTTAATGACAATAGCAAATGTCCACTTTCGTCACACAGCTCTGGAGTGACTTTTCTCTTGACATTTGAGTGGAGAATACCCTTAGGGGACCATGTACTGTGAAATCAGCTAGACTGTCATCAGCCAAACAGGTAGCAGGAATGATTTGACTAAACTAAAAACATTTTCAGGTTGTTCAGTCTCTCTTAATACAGAGATGAACGTCGATGCCGAAGAATAGCTTTTCTTCTTTGTTCTTCTCTGGCAGCTCAGGGAGAGACGCGGTCGTCTGGGTCAGGCCGGCCGCCAGCCCGGTGTGCCACCGCCCTCTGCAGGGCTTAAAACCCGAGCTGGGCCGCTGGTTTCCCTGGTGCCTGGGGCGGGGCAGCAGAAGCTCGCAGCACCATTCAGAGAGTCAGCCAAACAGGCTGCGGAACATGGGATGTAGTTTTCTGCATCAGTTTCACCTTCGAGCGTCCGTGTTTGTTTTAAGATAGTGTACGAAACAAAAACCACATGTTTTGGGGGGCGGTAAAGAATGGAAATCTCTTCTCTGCGATGGTTAAAGGATAAAGGGAAATATTTTATTACCCCTCCCCCCCCCCGGGTCTTTCAGTGCATACAGGTGGGGCTGGTCACAGAGGGAGAGTTTGCGAGAACTGCCCCCACCTGAGAAGGTTCCTGGGCACTCCGCGCAGGCCTGGACGTGAGGGGCTGAACCGCAGGAGCTTGCCGTGGTGCTGCACAGGGGAGCTGCCGTGCTCCTGGACGGGGAGGGAAGGGAGAGGACGGGGCCTCATTAGGAGAAGCAAGAGTCATTTGGAAACAGCTTCGCTTCGGAATGTTTTAAATGCCTGAGTGGGACCTGGAAAATTCCAGAGTGTTTCCAAGTGGACTTTCCTTTTGAACATGAGTGATAAGAGGCAAGGAAGAAAGGTAAGTAAATAAGTAAATAAATAGACACAGCTGATCTGCTTCATCACAAAGCCATCCTCTCTTTGCCTGACTTGAACATCTTTATAGCTCCCTTTTTTCCCTAGTAATATTGAAAGGATTACCCTTGTTGGCCCCTAGGTGGTTACTGTGTGATTTTACTGTTATTAAATCTATTATAAACTGCTTCATTATTCCTGACTCTGACTCTGTCTCTCCTTTAATCCTCCCATCACCCTCCCAGAAATCCCAGGCTGTTGGCCCCCAGGAAATCCGAGAGCGAGCCACGGTCTTGCAGACAGTGTTTGAAGATTACGTGCACTCCAGTGAGGGGACGGTCTCCTGGGCCAAGAGAGGTCAGTCGTTTTCTTAGGTGGGTGTGGGTGGCGAGCCCGGCAGAGATCACTGCCCTCACCTCCACCCGCATACCGCCAGCAGGTCGAGGGGCCAGCCAGGCGTCTCTGTTCACCAGCAGAAGCCTTCAGTCTCCCTAACGTGCAGGGTTCAGAAAAGGCACGGAGGCTTCAAAGTGACATTGAATGTTAGCTTCACCCTTCCCCTGCTCTGCACAAATGAGGCTTTATCTCCGCTTACGTCAGGACTGGAGCTTTGACCCGGCAATGTGGGTCTTAGCGATCCATTCTTCTCCTTTGAAAACTGGATGGAAGAGATATGACATGTCATGAGAAATAGTTGTAGAGATGGAAATTAGAGATGAAGCAAGGGCTGGCAGTATGAGACCTACGCGGGGCCTGTGTAAAAGTACAAAGGAGAAGGAGCAAGAGCGGTGCCGAGCAGCAGCTGTGGACCGTGAGCCCAGCTCCTCGGCACTCACAGAGGAGCCGGGCGTTTATGTAGCACTCAGACCTTATAGGCCAAGTGTCTCCTGGGATCACCGAGCCTTAGGTGGGACTCAGTTGACTTGAGCTTGCAGCTGAGTAGGGAGCTGACTGGCCTGTGGTGGAGCCTGTGGGTCTTAGCTGGTGACTCCGGTGCTAACGAGACTCCCTCCGTGCTGGGAGAGCCACAGCCCTAGGCAGTCCTCTGCCGCTCCGAGAAGAAAGCCTGGCTGGCCCACCGGGGCAGCAGGTCCTCGGAAAACGTCCTTCTGTCCATCATGTTTGTTATGACTTTGATAAGGTGCCGTGGGAACTCAACTCATCTCTATCACTTAAGCCATTTTCATTATAGGGTTAGCATAAAGCCACAGAACCTACCCACGACATCAAGTGAGGACTTACTGTGGATGAACACCATAGCGTCCGTCCGTCCTTCCTTCCTTCCTTCCTTCCTTCCTTCCTTCCTTCCTTCCTTCCTTCCTTATTATTATTTTATCCTCACCTGAGGACATTTTTCCATTTTTTACTCAGATAGAGTGGGAAGGAGAGAGAGGAAGAGAGAGAAACATCGACGTGAAAGGGACACATCGAGTGGCCGCCACCCACACGAACCAACCAGGGCCGGGGACAAACTGCAGCCAAGGTACATGCCCTTAGCGGGAACCGAACCCGGGTCTCTCTAGACCGCAGGCCGACGCTCTAACCGCTGAGCCAAACCGGCCAGGGCGCGTCCTTTATTTTTATTTGTGTTAATCCTCACCCAAGGATATTTTTCCATGATTTGCAGAGAGTGAAAGGGAGGAAAGGAGGGAGGGGAAGAGAGAGAAACATCAATGTGGGAGAGAGACATTGATTGATTGCCTCCTCCAAGACCCCACCACAGCCAAGGATCTGACTTTCAACCCAGATACAGGCCCTTGGCCAAGAATCAAACCCTCAGCCCTTCCGTCCACAGGCTGACACTCTTCATGCTGAGCCAAACCCACCAGGGCACCTTAGCATCATTTCTTTTCTTTTTTATGAATCTGAATTTATTTTTAAAATCATTTAACAAATGTGTGTTGAGTTGGGCACTGTTCCAGGTACTTGGGGATACATCAGGAATCAAAACAGACAAAAATTCTCACTTTTCTAACATTCTGGTGTGGGGGGCGACAGTGAGCACATAAACGTAATAAATTATACACATATTACGTCTACTAAAGGGTGGTCAGAACTGTGAAAGATGTGGAGTAGGGCACGGGCTGTGAGGGCAGGTGCGTGTTAAACAGGGTCAGAGTGAGCCCGCTGTCAAGGTGGCACTGGAGCAAACACTGGGGAGGTCAGGCCGGTGGCCTACGCAGCGGGAGCCGAGGTGCCAGGACTCAGGAAGGCAGCGTGGCTGGGGGTGGGGAGGGGGCAGAGGCAGACAGAAGACCTGATGTCACCGAGTGATACAGGAGTTTCCAGAGGGCTTGGAGCAGAGCTGTGTGTGGTCTGACAGAGGCTTTAAAAGAGCAGTCTGGGGGGCAAGGGTGAAAGCTGGGGGACGGGTTACGGGGCCACCGTGGCCGTCAGGAAATAGATGGTAAACATGGGGAGTCAGCCAGTACTGCCCAGTGCCTATTATGTGCCGTAGGGTCTGAAAGCAGGTCAACTGCGCAAGGTGAAAGGTGAGCCAGTGTTCGCCCCGTGACCGCTGACACCTAATCATTATGCATCCTTCCAGCCCGGGCTCTGACAGCAGTCTGTAGAGAATCTTGGCATTTCCCTGAAGTGGATTCTACAGTACCTATGGGTTTTCCAAAGAACCTGCCTCAGAGCTGTTCTGGGACACAGCTCGAGAGGAATAGAGTAATGTCACAGTGCAGCTTTGCAGAGTTCGGTCAGCTGGAGAAAGTTAGGCAGACTCAGCTTGCTGTGGGGTACATAGCTGGGCACTGTGCTGCAGGAGTTCAGGTTTAATAATAAGTTGCAATGCAAAGAACCAAATCAAACCCATACTAGCATCCTCTGTTTTGGTGCCAGAGGTATTTGTGATATTCTAGGGAGACCACAACTATTTTAAGGTGTCTGGGTCCTCAGAGTGCACATTACAGTAACTGATCCTTAGGGAATGTGGTTTTGTGTTTTCTCATCATTACCATTGAACTTGTTAACACCAAGAAACAAACAGAGGTACTTGTTTTCCTTTGAAAGACTGAGGGAATAGGACCACTCCCCATCGATTTCATGCCAGGAAGGAAATCAATGTATCATTGTTCTTATCTATCTGCGAATTGATTTCCACACCAGATTGATGATGGCCTGGGACAGACTGCATGTAGCGGGTCTCAGTCACCCCACTTCGGATGTAAAGCTCTTTGCTCTTCACGTCTCTCCTGTTACTTAGGATGTGAGTTCTGAAGAGTTGGGGAGATCTACACATAATTGCACTGTAAACATAATTGCGCTATAAATACTTTGGATTTACAACTTGAGGACAGCACCACACCCCCATAAGTGATGCAATCTTTTGCATTTCAATCTTTTGCATATGCAAATCCCCCACTTCTGACTTACCTCCTTTTATGCCATTTCAGAACCCACCTCATGAATAATTAACAAAGCAGCTGGGTTTTGCCTTTGTGGCAGAAAACTAGTTGGAAACTGGGCCAAGTATGCATTTGTTTTCCTTTCACATTTTCTGACCCAGTCGCTGTTCATAACCAGCATTAATTGTTGTCAGTTTCCAGAAGCGCTTACCCCCTTTTTTCCCCCTCTCATTTCTTGCATCTTTTTAGCTCGAGATTCAAGTGGTAATGTAAGTTTGAGCTCCAGACCCCTGAGTGGAGTCCATTCCCTGCAGGTCTCCAGTCCTGCAGTTTGTTCCCCCACCTTTGGGTCTCCCAGCAGAGCTGGGGCCAGCATGTGCAGGAGTTACGCCTGTCTTGGAAGGGGTGCTTTCCAGTCAGGAAAACCCAAACCACTGGGGCAGGCCACCCACTCCCCTCAGAGTATGCAAAGCGGGCAGGGCCTTTGGCCCGAGGCCTTGTCTCAGAGAATGGTACCGAGCTGCCCCTGGCCTCCCTCGAGTAGTTGGGGCTGTGGATGGCAGGTGGGAGGTGGTGCCTGTGCTCGGTCAGGTGCTGCTCCTCTGGGGCCAGTCTGGAGCTTGCTCTCCTCCTTCCTCGGTCCTCGGCGTCATCCGTAAGACCCTCATTCCTGAGCAGACGCCCAGGAATAAGTTTGATTCTAGGAAAAGAGGCGAATGTCCATGCAGGGCTTTTTTTTTTTTTTTTTTTTATCCTCACCCGAGGATATTTTTCCATTTTTTGTTCAGACAGAGTGGGAGGGAGAGAGAGGAAGGGAGAGAGAGAGAGAAACATCGACGTGAAGGGACACATCGAGTGGCTGCCACCCGCATGACCAGCCAGGGCCGGGGACAAACTGCAACCGAAGTACGTGCCCTTAGCAGGAACCGAACCCGGGTCTCTCCCGACCGCAGGCCGACGCTCTAACCGCTGAGCCAAACTGGCCAGGGCCATGCAGGGCATTTTAAAATGGATTTCCCTTAATTCGTCAGCCATCTGGCTTGGAAGTAGGAGTCAGCGGCTATGGGGCGCTCATGCTCTGGCTGCAGCTTCCCAGATAAATGTCTGCTTTCATTACTTCTCTGCTTCCCTCTGGTCCTGGCCCCCCAGCCCATTCCTTCTACAGTTCAGACACAGCCAACATGGGCCACTTCCTGCCCCTGGGAAGGTCCTGCACACAGTGGCGTCTGCATCCAAACTCCCTGCTTCTTTGAACCATCCCAACATGGGAGTCCATGCAAGGGTATGAGGATGGCCCACTGTCACCATCTCCAGTGCGACAGACAGGAGCCTGGAGGACAGAGAGGCTCAGTAAAAACATGCAGTGTGAAATGCCCAGCCAGCCATCCAGGGAGAAAGCACTTCCTGTCATTTCTTGGCAAACTCCTTAGCCCTTAAAGATGCAGGTTGGGCCCCTACATCATGGGACAGAGGCTCTTGGGGACGAGGCTGGGGGAGGACAAGGTAGAAATGGGGGCTGATCTGCTTCAGCAGAGGACAGGGATGAATGAGGAGGCCTGGGCCAGCATTTGGGTAACACTTTAAAAGTGCCACCTTGGCCGGCTTGGTTCAGCAGTTAGAGCGTCAGCCCGCGGACCAGTGGGTCCTATGTTCGGTTCCCGCTAAGGGCACGTACCTCGGTTGCAGTTTGTCTCCGGCCTGATTGGGGTCATGTGGGTGGCAACTCGATGTGTCTCTCTCATGTCAATGTTTCTCTCTCTCTCTTCCCCCTTCTCTCCCTTTCTCTCTCTCTGAGATAAATGCAAAAATGTCCTTGGATTAGGATAAATAAATAAATAAAGTGCCACTTCTTTTTAGCATGGTTGGCTTGGCTTGGTTTTACTCTGGTTTCTTAGACGAGTGAATGCTGGTGGCTGGGGAAAGGAAGGGGCAGAGGAGAGGCCAGGGCTCCTGGGCCAGGGAGCTTGTCTGGAGGCCTGTGTCAGAGCCCTCCAGACTGCATGGGCCATTGGAAGTGTGAAAGATTTCCTTTGAAAAAGCAGCCAGTCCCCCGTTATTAAAAAGGGGAGTAAGTACAGACTTAAGAGAGGGGTGCTGAGGAGTTGCCTTGGTTATTATTTCTCATCGATTGGGAAAAGGAGTTCACTTTGCTCAGTAAATAGAGCTTTGATGGATTCCCAGGATCCTTCCAGGAGCTGATCTGCTAAAATGACACTTTTTATTACTGTTCATAAACGCCAATCTCCAGGTGCTGCTGGGATATTACGGTTAAGCTGCGGGCAAACTTGCCCGTCCAGTGGCTCAGGAGCCAGGGTGAGAGAGGTGGTATTTAGTGCCTGCTTCTGCCAGGCGCTGGGGCGCTGGGCTCCGTGTGGTAGCAGAAGCCCAGGCTGGGAAGTGAAGTGGGCAGTGACGGAGAGGCCGCTTTCCGGAGCAGTCCTGCCCTGCGGTGAGAAAGGGCCGCTGCTGCATTTCCACTGTTGCGAGACCCTGGGGGAAGCTATTCTATGGGGAACAGCTACAGGAAATCTCTCCTCAAAGGAATGTGAGTGGCCCGGCCAGTGTGGCTCACTGGCTGAGTACCTGTGCACCAGCAGGTCACCAGTTCGATTCCCAGTCAGGGCATGTGCCCAGGTTGTTGCCTGTTCTCCAGTCGGGGGCATGCAGGAGGCGGCCAATCGATGTTTTCTCTCATCGATGTTTCTCTCTCTCTCTCTCTCTCTCCCTTCCTCTCTAAAATCAATAAAAAAATTTGTTTTAAAAAAAAATAGAAATGTGGGTAAAGGTGCCGGAGCTTCACCTTCCTGGGACCGAGTCTGGTTTCTCTCTGGCCTTCACCTGGTCTGGGTGTAGGACAAGGACCATTTCCTACACTTTAAAATAGGACCAAAACTGCCCGGCTCGTGTGGCTCAGTGGCTGAGTGACAACCTGTGCACCAACAGGTCGCCAGTTTGATTCCCGGTCAGGGCACAGGTCCAGGTTGTGGGCCCGATCCCCAGTGGGGGCGTGCAGGAGGCAGCCAGTTGATGTTCATTCTCATCATTGTTTCTATGTTTCTCTCCCTTCCTCTCTCTATAAAAATCAATAAAGAATAAATAAATAAACAAACAAACAGGACTGAAACTTTCATGATAGGATGTCTGATGAACATCTCTAAACTGCTAGCAGTCCTCAAGGGGTGAACTGTTTTGTGGACTATTTTAGAAATGTAATTCTTTTCTTTCTCCTTTAAAAATTCTGTTTCACGCCCTGGCTAGTGTGGCTCAGTTGGTTGGGCATTGTCCCATGCACCAAGTGGTGGTTTGATTCCCAGTCAGGGCACATGCCTGGGTTGCATGTTTGGTCTTTAGTCTAGGCTCATGCAGGAGGTAACTGATAGGTGTTTGTCTCGCACATCAATGTTTCTCTCTCTCTCTTTTCCTTCTTTCTCTAAAAAAAAAATTAGGTTTCATTTCCTTTCACACATTCTTTGAATGAGTAAGAAGCACTGTGCCAGTCAGTCCTGGCCACTTGAGAGTGAACTTGGTTTTAAAGCTCCATGAGCACCCTGCAGTGGGGCCAGTGCCTCCTCTGGGTGGGGAGCTAGAGGGGGCTTGTGGTGGAGGCGACACAGTAATGTCATTCTTCTTGGTAAACTTGGGGACAGTCACGAAGCCTTTGAACCTTTCGAATTTTGTAATATTTGCATGTATTAACCATTGAAAAATAAATAAAATTTACTTAGGGAATTTTTTTCTAATATAAAAGTTTAATGATTTTATTTTTCATAAGAAAATGAAATCCCAAATTGATCATGTCTTGCTTTCTTCACTCATTCGTTTTCATTCACTGTGTGTGCTAGGCACTGTGCTGGGCCCAGGACTAAAGAAGAAAACAGGCCCTTCCTCTGGGGTTATTAGAACTGTGCAGTGAAGTCTGGAAGAATACTGGGTTCACTCAAGTGATCATTGGAGCCTAGTGGGTAGGGGGTTTTTTTGAGGAATTTTAAAAACCACAAGTACAGACTGAGATTCCAGTATATTTGTACTCCTGGTCGCGTGCTGTCGTGGCCTGGCAAGGTGTTCTGCCCAGGACCCCGACCTGACAGCCTCCCTCGCCCTCATTTCTCTTGCAGCCCTGCAGTCCTTCATCCGGGCCTATGCCACCTACCCTCGGGAGCTGAAACACATCTTTCACATCCGGCTGCTGCACCTCGGCCATGTGGCTAAGAGCTTCGGGCTGAGAGACGCCCCCAAAAACCTTAGCGTCTCGACTGTGAAGAAGAGGAAAGCGAGCGTGAAGAGGTAGGGTGTACTGGGTTTGTTCTGTGACGAGCGGCTGGGAGGCCGCTGGGTGTGTGGAGCTCTGTTCAGGTTCGCAGTGAGCTGACAGGTTGGCCGCTGGGTGCTTCGTGTCCCCGTCTTCGGTTTCCATGGTAACTCATCACCAGTATCTGTCCTCAGTATCACAAGTGCTTGGAACAGGAGAGTAAAGTACCCAGTTGTGACTTTTTGTGGTTGTTTTTGTTAATCCTCACTGGAGGATGTTTTTTTCAGAGAGAGTGGAAAAGGAGGGAGGGAGGAAGGAGAAGAGAGAGAAACAGATATGAGAAAGGCACTTTGATTGGTTGCCTCCCACACGTGCCTGATCAGGGCAGGAAATCCAACCTGTAACCCATGTACGTGCCCTTGACCAGCAATCGAACCCTAGATCCTTCTGCGTATGGGCCGATGCTCTAACCATTGAGCAACACCAGCCAGGCCCTAATTGTAACATTTTAAAGGCATCATCAGAAATTCTGTGGTGTCTTCTGTCAGGTCCAGATGTGGCAGGGAGCAGCAAGACGGATGTGTTGGGCTGTCTTCACTGCCCCTCCGTAGAGTAATGGGGGACTTGCTGTAGTCGGGGCTTCTCCCTGGGGAGCCTCTGGGGCTTGTACGAGGACTTCTGTGGGTTCTCTGAAATTGGACCTGGTCGAGCCAGGCAGGCACAACCCAAGCAGCCCCTCCCGCAGGCTGGCTTCCGCCCGTGACGCTGTGCTTGGTGCTGACAGGAGCTCCAGCACCGAGCGTCCTAGAGGCAAGCACAGTGACATTGCTCCCTGGGCAGGCGTGTCCAGGACTGCCCCTGGTCCTGGAGAGGAGAGTCGGGGTGAGGAGCGTTGCCCTGTGGGTTGGATGCTGGGCTCTGAGTCTGTCTTCAAATATCAGGAGGTCCCGAGATGGTCTCCCTCAGCAAAAGATGTTCATCAGAAGTTCTTTTCTCCTCAAAAACGGTGTTCTTTTACCCAGCTCTCGCGGGAACCAGTGTTTGAGGTTCCATGGTCACATGGGATTCCATCAGGAACTTGGGGTGGCTCGCCATCGGCGCTTATGCAGCATGTGGGTTGGAAGGATGCATTGACAGATGTTTGGAGCCCTGAGAACCCTTGGGTGCTCTGGACAGGCAGTTTGCATTGAGTAACCTTAGGTTTGCATGTCGACTACAAATGCCAGCATCCACGTGCGGGCAGCATGCCCCTCCCGCACAGTGTCGCCCTGCGCCGTCACAGGGAAGTGCGGCTGATGCCCTGCCTTGTCCGGCCCGGTTTCTCTGGTGTGAAATGATGGTGGGAGCAGGACTGCCGGTGTAGGGCACGGCTGTTGGTCTGGGAGTCGCAGGATGGGGACTTCAGTTCCAGCCCACCTGGTGTGAGCTTGTAAGCTCTGGGCTGTATTTTGCCAGACTTCTCAGAGCCTCCCTTTCCTTGGCGACAAAGGGGAGAAGGAAATCTGTTTCTCACTACGCAGGGTGGTTTGGAGAACCAAAATGAAGCAGTACATGTGATTTGCCTTTGAACCATAAGGGCCATGCAGATGAGGCCCCTTAGGACACAGAGCTAGAAATCAGGGGAGTCAGGGTTCCAGAGCCTCGGGCTTGATCTGCTTGGGGACTTGGCATCCACAAGGCTCTTCACAATGGGTGGAATCTTGCCCAGTTCCACTTCCAGCTTTGGAGTTTGGAAGAAGCATGGTTGTTGCCTTTCGTTCTAGGGCAGTAGTCTGTGAGGCGGGGTTTGTCCACGGGCTGCTGTTCTGCGCGGCCCGGGAGAGCCCAAGACAGCCCCGTCTCATCGGGCGGGCGGGCACCCCGGCGCGGGCTTCGTGCTCAGGGCGTAGTGACCCGAGGCGGTCCCTATCTTTGGGCTCGGGGTAGCTGTTGTCTGTGCACATGAACTTTGGTTTTGAGCATGTGACAAAACATGAGGCCTACACTTGGGTCCGGGAGTGACCTCCTTGTAACCTTAAGCCTGACCATGCTGTCACCATCTCTAAAAGGTCCACACTTTGAGAAGGTAGGAAGTGACATGCCAGGTGATGACTGGTCGGGAGGGTCATTTGTTTATTTTCCCCACACATTGGTGCGGTCCCAGTAGTTCGTTGTCACAGGTGATCTACTTTTATGACTGGGAGTTTCATTAGCAAGTGCTAACCAGACAGCTCTTCAGACGGGCATGTCCTCGGCTCCCCCAGATCCTGGAAAGCAGGGCGGGAGGCAGGGAGGCGGTTGGGAGCGACTTGGAGCCAGCATTGTCCTTACCTTGAGAAGCCACCAGGGAGAGAGCAAGCTGCCTCCTGCCGCTGCTGACCCTCACTGGCAGATGGGCACCAGGATGACTGTGCCCCTGTGGGCAGGGGGTTTAACAGGCTTTATTGAGGAAAGAATGGGCTGATTAGCCGATAAAGAGCGTGTAAGATGGTATGGGGCAGCCTTTGATGTCTGGCTGGCGAGGCAGGGAGCCGGCGGTGAGTGACAGCAGTGTGTCACAGGATTACTCCGCCCGGGACAATGCCGCGCTCTGTTCTGGCCGTGTCACCACTCTGTTGCAGCCACTTTTTCCGTGGTTATGCCCTTCTTTTGAAGGCATTTCTCTCCACAGTCCTTACATCCTCCCACTCCACCCCTGCCTCGCTAATGCAGACGGGTGCGCGGGGATACAGCAGGTACCTCCTTTTATCTGGGGGATCTTGTCACCCTGGCGGAGAGTGACTTACAACTAATCCGCACATGGACCGTGTCATTGTGCTCAGGGCAAGCGGCCGGGAGCCCACAGATTCTCCACACCTCAGTCAGGGCTCAAGCAAATGCCAGTTGCTGCTTTCTGAGGACTGAACAGAAAGTCCCTTAAACTCCGCGGAGTGCGGGGACTCGTGCTGTGGTCACAGTGACTGTTCTGAGCTGAGGTGTCTCCTCGGAAACTCGTCTGTTCAGGGAGAGAATGGGTCCCTCCTTGTGTGGGCAGTGCAAGGCTGGCACTCAGCTCCTTGTCCCGCTGTCCGGTGCTCACCGCCTGGGTGATCCATGTCTGTGCGGGCCTCCAGCATGCGCAAGCCGTCCCGCCGCCTGCGGAGGCCTGCCTCACCTGTCGCGCAGCACGCGGGCCCCGCCGGTGTCTGCGAAGCGAGGACCGGGCTGGGGCTGCCAGGCACTTACTTCCATGCAGTGCCAGAGGGAACTTTCACCTTATCTCTGTGCCTTCACTTGACCGCTTTTCAGGAAAAGAAAATCGGTAGTTAATGTCCTCAAATGAGGTCTTAATCATAGGTCTCTGCCTGCTTTCCTAGTCCTCAGTTCTGAAAGGGAACACTGAGTCAGTCGTCGTCACCAAACCTCTTCTGACACCTACACACACGCCTGTCAGAACAGCCCTCGCCCCAAACACCTACGCGCGTGTACACAGGGAGCTGGTGCTGAAATATTGAATGGCCCCTCAGCAACCTCTCGCGGAAGGAAGTTCTGGTTTTGAAGTTGTGTAGATTCAGCAGATCCTGAGAAGCAAAGCTAGCACCTCTGCTAGAATCCCTGTTGTCCCAGGAGATGCTGAGACCCAGCACTGTCCGCCAGGAGAGGGCACAGGGGGCTGTTTGCCAACGTCTGTCTGTCTGTCTGCGCCATCACACACGAGCAGAACGTGTTCAGGAACAGTGAGCAGGCACAGGTCCCTCCTCTGTCCGACACTCTGGAAAATGGTTCAAGACTATGGAAAGAGCCCTGGCTCGTGTGGCTCGGTGGGTTGGGTGTCGTCCCATGCACCAGGAGGTCGCTGGTTTGATTCCCGGGCAGGGCACATGCCGGGTTTTGGGCTCGATCCCCAGTAGGGGACGTGCAGGAGGCAGCTGATCAGTGGTTCTTTCTCAACAGTGTTTCTCTCTCCCCTCCTTCCTCTTTCAATTCAATTAAAAAAGAAACAAAATTAAGAAAGAAAACTAATGGGCTTTAAGGTCCCGGTGTTATGGTGACAATATGTGAGGGCATATCTGCTGTTTGCTACCTTGTCACAAGTGAATTATATGCGATAACTATAAAAAATAAAAAAAACACCATTTCTCCCAGGTGACTTAGGCTGTAACCAGCCACCTGAGAGTGGTCTGACCCGTGTCCTTCTGATGTCCTTAGTGCCTAGAAACATTTGGCATCTGTATCCGTCATCCCATCATTTTGCTCTTCTGTTCTTAAAAGAAATGCAGTTCATTTTATCTATACGTTTTCTCAGCCAGTCTAGCTGAAGCGTTACCTGGCCGTTCCTGATGTTGTCAGACGTAAGCAGTCTAAGATCAGGGTCTCTTTTCCTCGGTGCTCCCAGGTCTGGGCGTGCGTGGTCAGCGCCTAGCCACCTGCCATCACTAGCAAAGGCACACGGGCCGCCCCAGGCACTGGGCACCACAAAACCCCACACATCCGAGCCCCACCGAGCACCTCCCAAGCCCGCCACTCCTAAGGTTCCAGATGCAGTGTGGTCTCTAAAGGAACAAACATCCTGGCAGGACCTTACTCACCAGACTTTTCTCTCTGAAGTGTCACAAATGCTTGTCACTGAAGTTCAGATTCCGGCTTGCAAAGCTTCATTTGGGGACCTCTTTCATCTTGGAAGCCCTTTGCTATGTCTCCTGACCCTCGCCTCACTCGTTTGATCATTGTTATGTAGCTAGTACGAGTTACTGTGTTGCACACTCCTCTGGTTCGTGCCTTTGTTCCTCCCCTTGTTTCTGAGCCGATTGTGGGCATCTAGGTTGAATCACTGATCATCTGTGTGTCCTTGGATGAGTGACTCAGCCTCTCTCTGCCTCGGTGCCCTCCCCTCTCACATGGGGCACTGGAACCTCACAGCGTTGTCATGGGGCTCAAAGCAGAGGGTCAGGATAGCGCTTCAGCCACGTGTCTGGAACGTGAGTCCACAGCGCACTTGTAGGTGATGACCACAACGACAGTGATGTTCTTTCCCCTGGCCTCCCTCACACTCCTGTGTCCCTGGGATGGAAAAGTG